CCCACGTGAGAGGCAGATTCGAACCACCAGAGGCAAGCAAAACAGAGGGAAAACAGATTGTAAGGTTCAGTTCTTCAATAGAAAGAGGGATCTTTCGAAAACAATTGTAAGGGGGGTCATTAGCACAAAAGGGTCTCCTGGGATTTTGATTCGAAATCAATAAAATACCAACTTTCTTCCTTTGATTTTTCGCATAAGCAATACAAGTAACTTATCATTCCCATCTTTATCAACAACCCGACAGCACAAAGCAAAGCATTTTTAAGGTAATAAATCATATTTATTTTTTAGCATAAGTTTTGAAACAAAATAGAATAAAGAAGAAGTAAAAGGAGGAAGTAAATATTACCATGGGTAGTCGGAGAGGAGTGTGGTCACCACAACGTAGAGGCCGACCGAGCGATGAACAAGTTGTGGATTTTGGTGTACAATCGCCGTTCGGGTTGAGAGCAACAGAGAAGGGAACCAAGAACAATAAAAAAATTAAAAGAGGTTTTAATTGGGTATAGTAATATGACAATAATTGTTTAGTATTTTAGTGTTAAAATTGGGGGTTAATCAACCCACGTGGGAGGCCACTCATTAGTGTTTTATGATTTTTTTTTATTTATGGTTTTAGTCTTAGATATTAAACATGCTTATTTTAGTCACTTGCATATTTTATTTTGTTTTAATTTAGATATGATGGTTTGATAATTTGTGTTTTAGTCTTATTTTTATTTTTATGTTTATTTTTTTTGTGTATTTTGCATTTTAGTCCATTTAGGGACTGTTACTATAATTTACCGACTTTGTGTATGTGTCCTTTTAGATTCATGCATTTTATTATTCAATATTTGATTAATTTACTCTTAAAATTCGTTTGGTTTGTATGAAAATTAATTTATTATTTCTAGCTTTCATCTATTAGTGCTAATTTAACGTTCTCATTGTTTTCGCCTTAATTTTGGAGGATTATGTGTTGGAGTAGCATCTTGAATATTTAATTACTTTGACCATGTAATTGCTTTGATCATTTATAAGGATATATATTATTTTATTTAGCATATGGTATATATATATATGCACACATTAATTATGGTAGTGAATGTGGGATTTGAACCCACGCCATTTATAATATATATATGTATTATATGTTCCTTATGTATATTATTCTATCTATGCATGTATATATTTAATGTTTAGTTCCTTTGTATGTTATTATTAGAATGTGTATACATATTTAGCAATATTTAGTTATTATTTTTGATTGTTTATAAATTACTATATAGTTGCATTCATTTTGATATATAAATTAGGTGTAGGGCATCTTTTAATTAATTTTGCATGATATCCTCATGAGCATTACTTGACTTGAATTGAAATAAATTGACTAAGAGTAATATTCGATCATTTTATAATTATAGAAAGAAACTTTCTAATACGTATATTTAATCTATTTTAATATATAACATTAAGTATTAATACTAGAACTTACATTTTAGATTTGAGCCCCTATGTTCCTTAATTTTCATAATTTGACACTTTAAGTTATAAAAATCCTTAATTTACTTTTAGTTTAATTAGGACAAATAAAATTTTGTTGATTGCGTTGTTTTACAAATCTAAGGTACTGTTCACTTATTAAGGAATTAATAGTATCCTCCGCGATTGTGCTCAGGGGGTGACTACTGGTAACTCCCCAAATAAGTCAACATCCTTTTTAAACCACATCATGTTTTCTAAAAATGAGGCAATGTTCGGTTATTAGACAGAATAGCTGATCTCCCGCATTTACGCTCGGGGGCGAATGCTATCGGTCTCAATAAACGAATACCCTTTTCAAACTCTACATCCTTAATGATTTTTAAATTAAATAAAGATCGAACTCAAAATTTCCAATTTTAAATATAGGGTAATCAACTAGGTACCAATTTCTGGGCGCTTGGGGGTGCTAATCCTTCCCCACGCGTAACTCCCGAACCTGATTTCTGGATTTTGCAGACCTAAAAAACTCGGTATTTTATTAAAATAAAAATATTTTATTAAAATCACCCGGTTTTTATGGTGTTCCAATCTCACCTTAAATGATTGGTGGCGACTCCTCACCTTTTGAAACGATTTTCAAAGAGAAACCCCATCGGCATCGGTCTTTCCCCTTCTGGGCGAAAAACGGTTACGACAAGTAAGATATAGTTGTCAATTTTTTTGGTAGATTTTGTTAAAATTTAAAGAAAAAAGGGATTTATTGTCTTCTATGGGGTAGGAAGGGAATGCATTCATTCATGTGACATTAACTGATCTTTTCATTCTTGCTATGTGATAGAAATAAGACAGGTGCATGTTTATTGTAGGCATATATTTATTAACACAATGTTTCTCCTGGAAGAATGCAGTCATCAATGTGCCATTAACTGATCTTTTTAATCTCACCGTGTGATAGACATAAGGTGGGCATGTGCTTATGTAGGATTTTATGAACACAGGAACCTCCAGTTTTCGGGAAGAGGAGCATCTTTGTCGTCCGTTCAACAGGGTGAGCATATGCATTTATGTTTTCATTTTTGTTCTGTTTCTGTGCTTGAAAGGATCAATTTATATCTCAAGTTTACGGTGGTGTATATCTATCTTGTCTTGAATTATAAGAATGATCTTCAGGGGACACGAGCAATGGGCCCAGTGTGATAGTTGTTCTAAATGGAGAAGGCTGCCTGTTGATGCTCTTCTTCCACCTAAGTGGGCATGTGCAGACAACAAATGGGATCAAAGCAGGTCAGCATTTTCAGAATCGTTGTTCCCTTGTAATCCTATTGTTATCTTTAACGAGTATCGAAAGAAATCTTTTTCATTTTCTCTGCAATTTTTTGTCAGGTCTTCATGTTCTGCACCAGATGAACTGACCCCAAGGGAGCTAGAAAATCTTCTTAGATTGAACAGAGGTACATTCTCAGAATATTTTAACTTGAAGACTATATATGTAACACAGTGCTTGTGCATATTGATTTCTTCAAGACTATACATGTAAATTTATATCTTGATATTTCACATGCTTATTCCATAACCAAAATGTTACAAGCTACATATTTTCAGTGAATTTGTTATTGATTTACTTGATTAAATTTCTTATTCAGCTACATTTAAGCTATTTTATATAGATTTCAAGAAAAGGAGAATAGTAGCATTTCATAAGCAAACCCAGGAGAATGAGTCATCACTTGGTCTGAACACTTCAGCCAATGCTGCAATCCTTGGAGATAATGTAGCTGATTCCGGCACTACGTCGGTGGCGACCACAACTAAACACCCGAGGCATCGTCCTGGTTGCTCTTGCATTGTGTGCATCCAGCCTCCAAGTGGGAAGGGAAAACACAAGCCAACATGCACATGTACTGTGTGCATGACGGTAAAACGTCGTTTTAAAACCCTCATGATGCGCAAGAAGAAGCGGCAGTCGGAGCGTGAAGCGGAGATTGCTCTAAGGAATCAACAAGCATGTGATCCCAGAGAAGAAGCTGAAGTCGGCAGCAGCTCTAAACATGTATCGCCATTCCGCCATCCTTCTGAGAATGAAGCAATGTCAGTTAGTGAGTTAGAATCCAAGAGCCAGAGCAACAACCTAGTCCCCAAATTGGTTGAAGCCAACACCGGACAGATAGACTTGAACGGTCGTGATGACAATTGGCAATTAGATTCCACCCGCAAGAGCATGGCGAATCTTCTTCGAGTTGCAGGCCTCCGGTTGGAAACTTACCTCAAGGAGAATGGCCTTACAAGCTTGGTATCTGATCGGTAAGCAATCTCAACATCACATGTTCCACCACAGATCTTTATTGCAGGTGAGCCACAAGACGATAGATCTTCCCCTTCTGCCACAAAAGAACATGACACCGGGGATGAAGAAAACGGTGAAAATGAGAATGATCCTTAATGACATTCCAGTTCCTCTTTAGACTAAATCAAACCAATGAAACTTTAGTCGGTGTTCGATAATTATATGTGTTATTATTTCTCCAAACATTGTTTTCTATTCATAAAACCCAAATCCGGAACCAAATATCTATTATTTACTATAAGCAATATGGATTAGAAGAAAATAATAAATCCATTTTCAGATCAGATTTGCACTCTTTATATACAGATGAATAAACGAATACTTTTTATAAACAATCAAAATCCTTCCTGACTAGTCCTTCTAAGGCTTGCCGATGATGATTTCCGAGCATATTTCATTTAAAGTTGGTGTAATGAGAGGGTAGAGGAACAAGCTTGGGGTGGAAGAGTCAATGCCAAAGCAGGTGGTCTCATCGGAGAAACTGATAGCTGGTTTCTTGGTGGCAGTGACGGTCGAAACTTAACCTGTGTGCTGAAGTAACCATCCGGTTATTAGGCGATCTTAATATCTGTTTTCCAGAAACCGCCGCTGGTTCTTGTATAGGAAGCAGGCACGAATATTTCATGTCCTGGATGATTTTAAGATTCTCGACTATGGTTCTCATGGCGGCCTTTCGGATGGAGACATCTTTGTGTGATGTCGGCAACAGAACGAGCATCTTTCATGGGAAAGCGACCTTTGAGATTAGGATTTGGGATCCATGATGAGCAATAATCTACAATCACCGGCTAGGAATAATCGGCTCCACTTCACTAGGTTCCTCTCTTCCCTGGGACGCTTGTTAAGGTTTTTCCGGCCAGTTAGTAGTAATTGCAACAACATATAAAGGATGCAGCATCGAAATTTGGCTAATGTACAAGTCCTGTCGCTGCCTGCCTTGCAGTGCCTGAACTCGGGGCTCAGGCAATGCTGTCGGGGTTATGCTCCTTATGAACAATGGACTGTGTCCATCCTTGCCTACTATATGCCTGGGATAATTGCAACTTGTTATTTCTTTATACGCTGGATTTATTGGAATAACGTTAATTAAATCCAAATAATTAAGTTAGATAAATTTATGGATTCTATTTTAAGATTCAAATTTTATTTAATTTGTTCCAAATCAAATCGAATTTCAAGTTAATATATAAAAAGAAGTCTACAAATCTAAAATCAATATTTTTAAATAATCTTTACTCTCTAAAATATATAATTAATTGTTGAACCTCCATAAATTTGGATACTTTTAAATGAACACAATAATGTTGAGTTACATCAATCAAGTTCAATATTTATATAAAAAAAATCTACAAATCTAAAGCCAATATTTTCGTCTGAGCTTTGGAAAATAGAAGATGGTTTTGACGATAGCGAAGATCACCTTCCAAGCTACATACCAAAACCCAGAAAAAACAGTATATCCATAGCTCCACTCAATCCAATTCCAAGCATAGTTCGAAACGTAATCTTTGCCTAAATTGAAAGCAACCCAAGAACCAGCTGTTCCAGCAATCAAAACCATCCAAAAGCTTCTTGTTTTCCCCCTTAAATGTTTCTCGAAATACAGCATCCAGTACAACAAAATCAGGGAAATAAGAGTTATAATTCCCTGACGATCTTCCTTGAAGGTTGATTGCAGCAGCAAAGCGATAATGGCAGCCACCAAAGAGCCGCCACTGTTTGATTCCTACAACAACAACAAAAACGAAGATCAAGCTGTTTCAACTAAAAAAAAAGGATGAAGCGAAAATTACCAAGACCTTGTTGGCGAAGGGATTCAGAAGAGATTTAAGATCTGGGTTTTGGATTGTAAACGTTTTTGTTTGCACGGCGAAGTCGGAGTTTGTCGAGGAGGCTGAATAATGTGGATTTGAAGGTCCTCTTTTGATGAGTGGAAATTGAAACTGTTGAGCCTGACTGAGCTGGAGTTTGAGGATGAAGTTGTGGAGCCTGAGGAGGGGGAGAACCGGTGGTTAAGATTTTGGTTGCTTTGACCTTGAAATTGAAGATCTTGGTTCTGGCTTGAATGTTTAATTTCCAGGAATGTTGCATTTTTAGTTCCAGAATGTATCCATCTCAGTGAAAGAAAACTCAGAGCTGTTGGTAGTATGTGCTTTTTTGAACCAGCTATCATCACAAAATAGCCTTCGTGTATTTTGGGGAATCAAGATCTGTTCTTTGTTTTTCATTTTTGGTCAAGTATATATTTAATCACTCATCTTTGATTATATTTCTTTTTGGTCACTAAAATTAAATATTTATCACTTTGGTCACTCAATTTTGTCATTGCTCCGGTTTTTGTTCACCGTTCATTATTTAACATCGTAATAACATGACATATATCTTTTAAAATTATGAAAAGTTCTTAAAATTTTATTTTAAACTTGTGAAAAATATTCCTAAAATTTTTCTTCATAAATTTTTTAACTTATCATTTTGGATTCTCTTTGATTTTTTTACGTTGAAGGATATTCTTTCAAATTTCAATAATGAGAAAGTAGAGAAGGAAGAGATGAAAAATATATCATAATTTTATGATGATAAGATGGTGAGATTGTAGATTGGAGTTATTTTCCTTCAAATTTTGATTTAAAGTTTGCAAATTTTAAAGAGATTTTGTTAAAATCTAAATTGATAGAATGGTAAAAAATAACGAGACAAATTTACGATGTCTAGAGTGATCGAAGATGATGTTAAAGAACGACGTTTTCAACAGTAGTGTGACATGGAAATAAAAATCAAAGAGTTTAAAAATTGTTGGGAAGATTATGAAAAGAAAAAACGAGGTAAAAAACACATGAATTTCATGTAAGCAAAAAACAGTAGAACACATCACCATGTTGTTTATGATTTAACACTGGATGAAAAAATAATAATTCGAAAGTTAAATGACTAAATTAAAAATATTTAAAGTTGAATGACTAAAATTAAGATATAGTCAAGTAGAATGATGAAAATTAGTATAATTTTACCTCAAAATTGATTGTATGTGGCAATAGAAAGGATCCATGAAATGTATGAAGCCGATTTTCTCCATCACTTTTTGGATGATCATAGGGAAAGAAATCAGTTTCGATGACGAAAGTTATGATGAATGGAGTAAAATCCGATAAGAAGAGGTATTATACTTTTAAAATAAAATTAGGGTTCGAATTTTAAAGTTGTGAATGAAAGTAGAATGAGTTGAAAATGTCATCTTCGTAATAATATTTATAATATTCAATATGAATTAATCAGTTAGATCCAATATTAATAATTAAACCGAACATAATATAATATAAATATTAAAAATATGAGCAGCATAGGGTATACTTTTTCCCATCGCCGCTAATTACGCATTCTAAGTTCCCAACAATAGCCATACATAAAGAAATTAATTATTAAACCCAAGACTTGAAAGATTGCAAGTTGCAAAATGGACCACACTTTTACTAGGAGATTAACACCAAAGTATTAAAAATAGTTGAAAATTGCAAATTGCTTGAACACTTTTACTTTCATGTAATAAGTTCAAACTTGTGAAACTTACAAAGGAAGAAAGAAAAAAAAAAGAGAACATCCAGCATTTGCAATTTGGTCCCTAAAGCTCTCAAAGTCTAACAACAAGCACCCCAAATCCCCATTGTATACATCAGCATACCTCTTGAACAAGTACAACAACGTTGCCAATGTCCGTTGGTGGTGGCCGGGGAGTGACATCCTTATTTGGTGTCTTATGTTGGAGTAACGAATGGCGACAATTGGGGCACGACGAGTGTGACAGCAGCCATTTGTCTATGCACCTCACATGGAACCGATGGTTACATTTTGGCAGTACTCGTACCTTTTCCCCATCAACGAACTCTTCAAGGCAAATGGGGCATTCAGTGGACGTAAAGCTTCCGTCTGTTCCGTAAACAGCCACTGGGATTCCTTGCAAATCGCCTTTTTTGAGTCCAGTCGTCGCCAGCCGAGCCGCCGCTTGTTCCGGACTCTCCCGCGACTGCAACGTAGCAGGCATCGGACCATCGTGTTCAACCCTAAGGTACACATCACGACACATAAAAGAGCTGCCATTATAACCACCTGGTTTTTGTCGAGATTCATGTCGCGAATGTGAGAATCATCGTGAGTTTTGTTCCCACTTGCTGGTGCCACTGCCGAGCTAACTTGTGTCTCAAGCATCCGCCGGTAATTCATATTCACAGTTGATGGTAACATAGACATAGCTGAAGCGTACCACTTGAAACTTTGAGACAAAAAATCAAAAACAAAAGTGTTGTCAAAGCCCTAAAGGGAATGGTTTGGTGTTCATGTTTTGTAACACAAAGGAGTTTGGGTAGAAGATTCCAACTAGACAGGGACATAGAAAAAGCATCTCCTTTGTCTCTAGGATAAGGCAAAAACACAGAACTGCCTATGGCCTATGGACTATGGCCTATAGCCTATAGCCTATAGCCTATAGCCTATAGCCTACAGGTGGTGGCCTAGTATCCGAACCGGGGACCGTTTGGATTCCCCAATATTCACAGCAACGTGTCCGAATACCAAGAATTAAAGCGAAAGAGTTATCTAGATTTTAAAACAAAGATGTTGGAAATCTTACCCGAGTCTCTCGAAATTCTCCTACTCATACTTCTAAAGCCTAAACCCTAGTTGTGAAATGCAGGAAAGAAGGGACATGGAAAGCTTTATTTATATGAAACTGCTTCTAGGGTTTCACCTTAATTAATTCCAAATATCAGATATTAAAAATATCTTGAAAAAGGTAAGATCAAGAGTGATGGTTTAGTTTGCCTACCAAATCATGCAGTGGGAAAACCTTAAAAGAGAATCTTGGGAGCAAAACAGCTGTTTGTATTGCTGCAGGTAGTGGAACCTTGGCTGGCATGTTTTCATTCCGTTCTACATCTCACTTTTGACATCATCATAACAACATAACTATTATCATTCGCACATTCACCCCCTTGTGTAATATATATATCTCCTGCCCTTTTAAACTTTATAATAAATTAATAAATCAAGTGAACTGATATTTATCCTTTTCGTTAATGTAGGCGAAATTTCATCAAAACAATCTGCAACTTGGACACTATACTACACCCCGAAATATCCAAAAACATTAAATATGTAATATATTCCAACTTGGCCTAATTTGTTCCACCACTCTGCTAATTGAGTAGGAATTATTTTATCAGATATCATAATATATATTTATTGATATATAACGAGTAGTGTAGTAGTTAATTGTAATAAATATAATGTTTATAGATTAAAGATTTACACTTGCAGTTACTCTTTCTAAGGTGGATAGAAAGTTAAGAGTTGAAAAGAGAGATGAATCTATATGTTCTATTTATACCCTCTTTCTCTTACAACTTGTAACTATCATAGGATGAGTCCTTAGGTTGGGGTTCGAGATTTAATATATCATATTTTATTTTTACACCGTTGATAAGCGGTGAAGCCCTGTTTATTATTTATGTATTTTTGGGCATTTCGGGTGTGATTTTGGACTTTCCGAAAATGTGCAAAACGATATAACATTTGTCACTCTAGAGAGCGTTATAAAGTGACGTGTTACGGCTTTACTTGTTATGGTATGTTGGAATTTTGTTTCGTTATTTCCGTGTTATGGTTTATTTCTTCCGATTTAGTTATGTTTTACAACTCATTCTAGGACAACTTCGTTGAACGTACGAAACTATCTCATTTCGAGACGATTTCTTTAACAACAACAGAAAAATCTCACGCGAGTATCTTTGCTTGTAAAGGTAGATGCAACGAATCATGAAATTTTTTATATAATCTCTAAATAAAAAATTAAAGGTTAAAAACAGTTCATGAATAGATATACATTCAAATCTCTTCTTATTCCAATTATAATCGCTTATTAAAAATATTTTTTTATAAAAATATTTATTTGGCAATGTCTTTTGACAGACCTTGTATATTAATATAAGGAGTGAGACATATGAATTTGGGTGGTATTGTTATGATTAGAATGTGGGTTGGGTGCGCACTGGAGAATTTGTCAAAATCAATCACCTCTTTCTTATCTTCATAAGGGTAAAAAGGATGTCTAGATATTTTTACGTCCCATTAAATTTGTGGGCATCTTATCCCATATCGTCTTAAGATATTTTTACTTAATACATCAAATTCTCTTATTAATATTTATATTAAAAGACGGACGATGAAGGAGGTAAAATAATAAATCGGTGATTAAAGGTGTAATTTTCCCATTTTTCTTTTCATTGTTGTATAGATTTGCATACTAGCAGTAATTTGTATAAGAAAAGATGATTGTAGATAATTTTACCTAATACTTATCCATAAAGTATTCTATTAAAGAGATTAAAATAAATTATTGGTTTTTTAAGAACAAAATAAATAATTGAAGGATTAATATTTTTTTTCAATACATAATCTAACGAAAGTATATAAATAATAGATTAAATAAAAAAGCACGGTTTGCATTAGTTAGGTAATGATTAATGAAGCGTGAGAAGCTGTTGGGCGAAGTAGGAAATCCCATTCATTTTCCCTTGGTGTGCTTTTGTCCAAGTGTAGTCGGGGTCTCGGCCATCAAAATCACGGACGATGCATGATTTTAATTCATATACAAATATTTATTTAAAATTTAGAAGTTACGTAATTAAAAAATACAAAATTAAATAATCAATCAAAATAATAATAAATATCTAAATTATGTAAGAGTTTAAAGTTTCCAATTATATGATTTCAGCCAACCCTATAACACATCATCATCACATATATTTATATATGTGAGTGTGTGCATGAGTCATGACTCGAAGAAGATGATGGTATATAATAACCATCGGTTTGCATGCATGTAAGAGGTGGTTTATAACCTGAATTGTGTAGGTGAGAGGTCAGCAAGATGTCCTGTTTTGAACCCCGCGAAAAATGTGGGATTTGAACACAATACTAGCATCATTGTAAACCAGATGGAAAACCGTCGTCAACCTCCACCAGGCAATCCATGGCTTTCACTCTGTAGTACTTGGAGTTGTGGGAGAGGAGCTTGTTAACAAGGTCCAACCGTGCAAGTGGTGAAGCCGGGAATCTTGTCCTTTACGGGAGCCCATATCCTAGGAATCTGGAACTCCAAAAAACATCTCAGTTCTTCAATCGGAGGCTTGTCTGCAGAGAATCAGGCCGAATATTTAGGTTAGTACAAAAAGAATCACTGGCAACATAACGAATGTGAACGAACAAGTTGCATCTGATAAACCACAAAGAATTGGTTGTATTACATTCAAGATAAAGACTCATGGCACGAGCCAGATGCTCCTTTCCAGCTACACCGTCAAGCAGAGCAGCAATAGGATAGAAAGTCATTCCAATGACATCAGGAGAGGAACGGACAGTTTTTACCCATTGAGAGTGGTTTTGTTCCAGATCATCTCCTCCCCTCCTCCGGAAAATGATCGTAACATCCTGCAACAACATCTAGTCACACATCTGGGATTGACTAAGAGTAAATGATATACAAAAAATAACACTAAGAGAACGAGTTCCAGGTAAATCATGTAAATAACGCCTGTTGGCAACCAGAGGCAAGCTGCCATATCCACTTTCAAACCATACAAAAATTGAACCAACAAACCTAATCCTAAAGCAAGACATGTTTGAATATCTTTTGGAAACTAAAAGCAATAAACTATGCATTTTAGCCTCTGCCATACAGGAAAAAAAAACTAAGAGGAACAGTAGGAAGAATGACAAGAACAACCGCCAAACAGAACAAAGCTTAATTCCACTGCATGGTGTGGCTGCATTAATCTGATCCAACAATAAACTGTAACAGAGTAGCACCCCAAATATATCGAATATTCATAAGCAGGTTGATTTCCAGTTTTCACTAATAAAACCGACAAGCCATCTAAATACCTCTTTCCCGTTAAGATGTGGCGCGTTGGAAGGTTGAGGGTATATCCCTTGACTGTTGAATAATACAGGATCAACACCCTGTAAAGGCTAGAAATTATATCAAATCAGCAACGGACAATGAAGGGTGACAAAAATATGACAGCAACAGTGTGGAACTAGCCTTATCCTTTAATTTGATTTGACCTGAACTTCTATGAATTTCATTGTCAGAGAATCTCTGGTTTCCAATATCCTGCACATAGTTTTTAATCTCCATGGTAGATAAAGTTGAAGAGTGATGTTGTTTGACGTATTTCTCATCTTTACCACCAATAGTTACAGAAGTAATGACGTGTGTCCCGAAAGTTTAGATGAAACTGTAAAATTGAGCAAAATTAGGACTTGAACCTATATTGTAAGAATTTTACATTGATCAACAAATAGTGCATACCTTGCCAAGGATAATGGATCCCAAGATGTTGGGACGGCCTGTTTAACCTTTTCCTGCAACAACTGGGACATTGTAAGTTCAAACTTGGCAAGTGGAATGTAAAATCCATCCACAGAGAGCATCTTCGTGGCCGCGACATTGATATTCGTCGAACCGGTAAAGCTAAATGCAGAGTTGAAACTACCAAGTGGAAAACTACCAGACACATTAGCTTTGTTATTAAAATACTCCACCATCTGCAGTTGGTAGTTAAGAAAAGGTAAATTAGAAATTGCTAAAATCAGTACAAATCAATTTGAAAGAAATCAAGAGTCGAGACAAATCAAATCATTGGAATCAAACACCAACAATTTACTTGTATACTTCCATAGGACATAACATGAAAGAAATCATTTGAACTACTTCAGGCTAACAATCAACACTAATGAAAAAACATCAATTCTTACGGACTACAACCTTGTAAGAAATCTCCAAACTTTAAATTTGAGCTAAACCCAAAACTTTAAATTTCAGGGGGGGGGGAAATAAGAAAAAACCCAGAAAACCACAACATTATTTTACCTCATGAAAATTACAAACCCCAGACTATGACAGCCAATAGGCTCCTGGGAGTTCTTGATATCCCTATAAATATTGGGCAGAACAAGTTGATCTTTTAACAAATAATTAAAAACAATATTGATTTGATTGAAAAATGATTTATATAATTATAATTCTGATGCCTTGCTCAATCATGACTGTTATTTTACTCCATTTAACAGTTTTCTTATCAAACTTCATTAAACTTTTTAAATTCTCCTATTTGATAAATCAAAATCAGTTCATCTTTGTCTTTGGTAACCATAAATAATGTAAGATATCACACAATTTGATTCTTAAATTGTATGTTCTCTCAATCTTCAACATAAAATCCTTTATACATGCTCTGTTGCAATACGTAGAAGATGGCCGACAATTATCATACTTGAAGGAACTTTAACTGAACCATTCGTGTTCAGAATCAAAGAACCTGTGGTGGTTTTCATCATGATATTCATTTTATTCTCTTGACAATCAAAATCGCATGGAAAAAGATTTATTTTCATAATTTATTTCGTAAAATAACACACCTAATTGTTTTTCAACAAATTATTTTATCTTTTCTTTCAACTCTCGTATTATCTTATCTCACCATCATCATCTTTTTATGTTCTTATCCTCATTAATGTCCTAAATTATTAATCTTTCTCGATCAACAACTTTCAATAGTGGTTTTATTGAGTGACGGAGGTATAATTTTATGTTAGAGTGATGAACTTCTACAATTTTAAGAAATGATGACTTATGAAATTTTAGGAAGACGAAATTATATTATCAATTGAAAATACAAATAAAATATTTTTAAAAATAATTTGCAAGGGTACCCTTCGACCTGTCCTTGATCATGTCAGTATTAGATTTTGAAAATAGTTTTTCCTTCATTTTTAGTCTGTTTTACGAAGATTAATGGTTTTAACTAAGTTTTTTAACTTAATAATAGTAAACTTCATTTTAAATCTATTTTTTCCATCTTTCATTAAGGGATCCATGTGTTTTTTTTTTAATAGATTTAAGTTATTTTCTTACTTCATTGATGATTTTTTCCCATAAATTTATTTATAGAATTAATATTTTGTTCGTTTTTCTTTATTTTTGATGTATTATTTTACATCGTTATAAATAAATTTAAGAGAAAATTAATTTATATTACTATAAAAAAAACTAATAATATTTTTATTTCAAATATTTAAAACACCGAATAACAAATTAAGAGAAAAACTTACACCAATATAATAAATAAATTCATATTAAAATTTCAAAATAATTTAAAACAACCCATGATATTCTACCATTTTATAACCATCAAAATTTCCCCCTTCAAAAAATAGAATCCGCAGTTTTCACCGTCGTTTTGTCATCATCTCCCCTGTTGTTTTATTCCTCCCGAAAACCCTGATCGTGCCAAAATAATTAATAGTAGTAAAAATAAACCACGTGTTTTTAGATCAGAAGGGGCCGTTGGTTAGGCGGCGGCGACTCGAATAGCGTGATCGGACGGTTCCTTTCGATGTTTTTGACGGGCGATCTCCGAGATTGGTCGCCTGAACCAAACGGCGTCTCATCACGAGACAGGTCTTCATCGTTAAATCCAACGGGGATTACCACGGAGTATTGGAGAAAGGCCGAGGAAACGACGCAGGGGATCATAGCCCGTGTCCAGCCCACTGTTGTTTCAGAAGAGAGAAGAAAAGCGGTTATTGATTACGTTCAGAGATTAATTAGAAATTATCTTGGTTGCGAGGTCAGGTTATTGAACACTAATTAAGCTTTTAATTAGTTTAATATTATGCTAATATTTCATCATTTTTTTTTTCTGTCAATAGAATGCTAACATTGAAAAATCAGTAATCTAGGCGGAGATTACTACTGTATTTGATATATTTATTAGTACACGATTTTTAGAATGGAGTATAGCTTAAACTTAATTATTGTGTAGTTTGGAGTTACCTAAGAGAAAAATGATTAGTTTTTGTTGATAAAATTAAGGTTAAGAATGATGGTGGTTTGATGTTGATTTTCTTCCTTCAAGAATGCCTAATTCAGTTTAAAGTAATGTGGTTTCTGGCACACTGAAGCTTCAATGGTATCATTACTTTAGCACGTAGAAGGTGTGGTGTTTGTTATTGTTAAACCTCTGTCATTCCTAAGAGAAAGCTGTTGACAACGACTACTAATTGTTGTAGAATCGACCCGAGTGTAAATTGCAAACTCTCTATCATACGGATGAGGCTTCTGCCATGTCAATATAATCAATATTATATTTGTATGAATGCCATGTGTAGTTAATGTCTCATCTGTTGGTAATTAGATATGATATTGGCGCTATTCATGGCTTCCTTTGTGTATTCGACATTTGTGATTGATCAAACTCCAATCGTTTGCCTTAGGTGATCGATGGATGTCTAAAGCTTCAAGTTAGCAAAGCACTTCAACACATTTACCCTTAGCAGTTAAAATCAGTTTGGAAATTTGTCATTTAATGTTTGCAGCTGAAACAAACCTGGATGTTCATGACCGTGTAATGTATACGTTTTATTTCAGTAATGTTAGTAGTGACATATCGAGAATGGGTGACAGTATTCTACCTAAATGGTAAACACGGGTAATAAAGAAGAGAATACTTAAGATTTGAGCTACAGAATTTCTGAATTCTGATACAAGATACTTATTAGATCAAATAAGTACATTAGACCTGATAAAAATAATTTTCTTGTATACAGACTAATAGCAATCCAATCCATTTCATGAGTACAATATGGCGAATCAACCGACCAACAAAACTTCTTGTTCCAAATAACATATTGTTGTTTCTTTGAAACTTATAAATGTTGACTTATCTGGCTAACGTTGAACTTCGTAAAATGAAATGCTAGAATAATTGAAAAATGAGACTATTCAGGAATACACATCGAATTTCTGGTAGAACGCCCATGATAAAAAACTTATTTGATTGTTCCAGAGGAAATGAAACAAAAGATATGGTAGAGCTGGCAGTTAATGACGGTGTAATGTATGTTTTATTTCAGTAATATCTGTGGTGCCATATTTATATAATTTTTATAGCTATCAATTGTTTTGATAACGTGCGTAAAAGCATTCATTTTATTTTTTGATCAGCTTGTATGGATATTAATCATTTATCTTGTATTTATTACAGGTATTTCCATTTGGGTCTGTGCCCTTGAAGACCTATCTTCCTGATGGGGATATCGATTTAACAGCCTTTGGTGGCCTAAACTTTGAGGAGGTTCTGGCCAATGATGTCTGTTCTGTCCTTGAAAGAGAAGAGCATAACACTGCTGCTGAATTTGTGGTGAAGGATGTCCAATTAATCCGGGCTGAGGTTTTTGACTTTAACTGATATATCCTTATAGATCTTTGCTTAGTCAAATTATTTGTTTTCTGATGCGTAAGAGACTAACCTGTTAATTTCAGGTTCGTTTCATTCTTTATTCTTTTTGTTGATATTTACATCTAATTTAATTTTGTGTTTCCACATCTTGAGCATTTATTTTGGCTGCATTATTACTGGAAAACTGAGAAGGAAATGTCTTTGATGCATTATCATTTTTATTTTTTCATTTTGATGAATGTTATCCGAGGAAAAGCAAAATAACTAGTGATTTCCATTCTCTAACCAAAGATTCACCCACCCCATAGTGAAATCCTGTAAATAAAGCAAAAACAGCTCCCATAGGAAGTACATAATGGACACGTGCAACCATAAACTTTTATAAAGTTAATTAATCTTTGATTTTTTGATATTATTTTTAGTTTCTAGGCTTAGAGTTGAGTCTTCTTCTTTGTGCATTGTGATATTTTTCACGACCACTCATTCTATAATTATTGATTTTTGTGGTTTTTGTTGCCAAGTAATTATTTTCCTCCAAATAGAGATTCTTTGTTACAGTTTGTCAGGCTTGTTTTATTCGTCAAAATATGGACCGTGGTACACAACAATTTTGTCTTTGCTAACTGATCTTGCTGAAGCCTCTAAGCTTGCTACTGTTTTGTGGGTTGTTAGTGTTCTTCTTTATTATTTTTATACTCGGTAACTAATAAGGTGATTGGAGATACACCCCTACCTTGATTTACATTTAACTGTTTTGGAATGACCAAAGGAAAGATCTAATTGCGTACACTAGTACAATGTTTGTTCGGATCTTTGCCATTTTTTATGGAATTTAATCATTTCTTTATCAGATATTACATATTGGCTTGATAGATTCTTATGCTTTTCTTTTTTTTGATGGATTAAGGATTTCTATTTTTTTTTCCGTATCACGGAAAGGCAAAAATAATTTACTACAGAATTAAGAAAAGCAGATATTCCCATAAAAACAAATAAAAGATGCATCAGGGAGCTAACTCAAACATGGTCATTGTAACTTTATAGAAGCAAGATGTGGGTAAGCTAGAATATCCAATCAACTTAATCCCTCTTTGTAGTAAGAGTAACTGTGGAGAAATTGCTTCGCAATGAGTATGAACAACTTATCGGTTCATATGTTAGACTGTGGAGAGTAGCTGATTAATTTCGATACACAGATTATTATGCATCCATGGTCTTATCAGTATATTTTTTTTTATACATAGCAAGGATATTATTCCATGTTCTCTTTGCCATCCCAGATTTGACCGAATAGTGGATGTGAATGAGTATTCTGTACTCATTCAGTTTTCATGAGTATTATTTATGATGTTTTTTTATTGTAACAATTTACGGTTCAGAAATCATTAGTATCCTATGTAGTTGACCATCTTAAATTTTGTCTTCTCTGGTGGCAGGTTAAGCTTGTAAAGTGTCTAGTGCAGAATATTGTGGTGGATATCTCGTTCAATCAGTTAGGGGGGCTATGTACCTTGTGCTTTCTTGAGAAGGTAGGTTGCATCATCAAAATTTTGGAGTGAATGAAAGCTGTTTTCCTACACCTTAGCTCATCTGGAAACTGAAAGAAGTATCTGCATTGTTTAGCTGCCAGTATATATTGGAAACACTTTGATTCAGACTGACATGTCTATGTTTCTTGTGTTTGGATCTTTTGGTGCCTTTCTAGTGTTTAGGAAAAAAGTATGCATTATTTGCAATGATTGAGAAATTTGAAAGCTGAATATATTCTCTAAGATCCTTGAAACTTTACCATGTCAAGTAGGGAAACTTACCTCATAATTTCTCTAATGTCTAGACTCTGTTTAGCATAGTCGAGAAATAGGTTTCTGTTTACTTTCCCCTTCCTGATTTCATTTGCTTATGTTTGCTGATCTATGATATAATTTAGATATAGACTTAAGATCTCTGTCATTCTATAGTTCTATATGTTTGTATTTATATTTGTATTATACACACTGGGAGAGTTGGCATGGGTATGGGGGTAGTTAATTGGCTGTATCATATTGTGGTAATCAGAAATGCACCATTTATATAGGTATATATTAACATCCCTGATAACTTTACAGGTTGATCGTCTTATTGGAAAAGATCATCTATTTAAACGTAGTATTATACTGATCAAGGCTTGGTGCTACTATGAGAGCCGTATTCTTGGGGCTCATCACGGCTTGATTTCTACCTATGGTTTGGAAACTTTGGTGCTCTACATTTTCCATCTATTCCACTCATCCCTAGATGGCCCTTTGGTGGTGAGTACTGCAGGATTTTGGCACCATAAGTTAATTGATCTCACAACTTTAATTAGTTGAATATATTACAGGTTTTATACAAGTTTTTGGATTACTTCAGCAAATTTGATTGGGAGAAATACTGCATTAGTTTGAATGGTCCGATCCATATGTCCTTCCTGCCAGATATTGTGGGTAAGCAACATCAGTTTTCTTTAATGCCAAATCTTGTTTGTTGTACTCTAGACATGATTAAGGTGCTTATGTCTTTTATCTTATCTCATGCAGTTGAGACGCCTGAAAATGGTGCGGGAGATTTACTGCTTAGCAATGATTTTCTCAGGGAATGTGTGGAAGTGTTCTCAATTCCATCAAGGGGCTTTGAGACGAATTCACAGGCATTCCCTCAAAAGCATCTAAACATAGTGGATCCTTTAAGAGAAAACAATAATCTTGGTCGCAGTGTGAGCAAAGGTCGAATCATTTTTCCATTGGCAAATGCCACTATACTTTTCAATTGAACTTGCAACTTTCTTTGAGAATAGCAGAAATAGTTCTTTAGATATTGTAACTGGGGTATTTAGGCTATTCTTGTTTTTGTGGTGTTTAGTGATTCTCGAGCTGATTGAGAGGGATAAAAGTTCAATAATGATGTACCTTTTCCTCTGTAGGGAACTTTTACCGAATAAGAAGTGCTTTCACTTATGGGGCTCGGAAGCTAGGGAAGATACTTTCCCAGCCAGAAGAAAGCGTAGGAGATGAACTTCATAAATTTTTCTCAAACACTTTGGATAGGGATGGAAATGGGCAGAGGCCTGATGTTCAAGATCCTGCTCCATTGTTTGGATTCAGAGGATTTGGTGTGACATCATCAGTTTCAGGTACAGGGACAGGTACAAAGTCATGTCAAGAAGATCAAACCTTTTACGAATCAGAATCTTCAAATTCAAGTACCGTGACTGGGAATCATAGATCTGATGATGAGGGATCATTGCACAAAGTCAATAATGGTAATGTGTCTGGCAGTGAAACAAATTTCAGGGGAACCTTTAGCGAGCTGCATGCAAATTCTGTATGTGTTTCAGGAATTCGTCTTACAGGGGATGCTAAAGACCTGGCAACCCCCAAAATTCAAGGTCTTGTAATTTCAAATGATGCACATAAATCCCCTCCAAATTCAGAAGACAGTTTTTCCTTATCAGGTAATGTAAGTCTAAGGCATGCATCCCATCTCTATTTCTGTAACTCGTCTTTGGATAATGGAGAGATGAGATATGGGAATGGGGAACACAAACAGCCCGAAAACTCTGGCTCTACTGAAAAGAATGCGAGTTCTGGTATTCTTCCAGAGGAGATGGGTGCTAATGTACTTGGTGATCACAGTGTGAATCAGTTGGTTGCTAGTCAAGGGGTTCAGTCCCCTGCTGGACGGACAAACCAGCGATTGATCTCAAATTCTGCTTGGTCATCTGACGATCTATATCCTGGACGTTCTGGTTATCCAGCTCCTAGTAGTAGTGCTGGAAGTCGGGATGTTTTGAGCTCATTGTCTGATCTTTGTGGGGATTATGATGCAAACATGCGCAGTTTGAGTTATGGCCAGTGGTGCTATGATTGTGTCCTTAGTGCATCTGTTCCTCCGATTGGTTCACCTTTGGTTTCTCAGTTCCAGAGCACAAACTCATGGGATGTAGTACGCAAGTCGGTGCAGTTCAGGCAAAATGCCATTTCCCAATGAATTCTAATGGCATTGTCCCACGACAAGCCTACTATCCTATGAACCCACCAGTTTTACATGGTTCTGGCTTTGGAATGGAAGATATACCAAAGCCTCGAGGAACTGGGACATACTTCCCCAATCCCAGCACGGTACACTCAAAATTTAGTCTGGTGCAGAGTTGCAGCACCATGGTGTTAGTTTGCTGTTGTTTGTTATTATTATTATCATCTCTTGTTAAATTCTGGTTGAGCCTTGTTGTCTCGATTTGGTTTTTCATGCTTAAATCATTTTGCAGAAGTATTACAAGGATAGGTCCTTGACCCCAAGGGGAAGGAACCCAGCACCAGCAAGATCTCCTCGCAACAATGGCATCGCCATTACACCCCCAGAGCCAAATTCACCAGAGAGATGGAGCCGTGAGCTGGCACAAATACAGACCGTGAATCAGGGTTTTGGAAAATCAGGGACTTCTGAACTCCGACACTCTGGATCTGAAAAAGTATTATCCCCTAATGCCAATGGCTCATTGCATCAGCCAGATAGGCTTGTAGAATTTGGGTCAATTGCTGCCTTACCTTTGGTGCCAGCCTCTACAGAAAGTACTCGGCAGCATAATCCAGGTTATCCTGATGCTCAAAACTTGACTGCTAGTTGGCAACAATTAGGAAATCAAAGGCTAAAATCAGCTGCGATCATGGATCAGGACAGGTTCAAGAATTCATTGTTTAATCTGAAATTTTTACTTATCTGGGTAAATACGATGTATGCTATACTCTGACTCTGACCTTTTTTTTCTTTCCACTTCTAACACGCAGGATACTTGTACAATCATTCCATTTAAAAAACGAAGAAGATTTCCCGCCTTTATCCATTTGAAAACAGCGAAGAGAGAAGGATCGATCTGAATTTATACAGTTGAAAAGGTTGGAAGAATAGTGACAGTAAATGCCAACAAAGTCGTGCCACTCAGCCTGTTTGAATGTGGTTGTTTGATAGCTATTCCAAAGCCATGTATGGAATTTGATTAGTTTTGTGTGGTTCGAAGATGTATATGTACATTTTGACTAATTTATTTCCCCTTAATCGTCTTCGTAGCTGTACTTTTAAGGTGAGTTATTCATGTATAGGATTATGGAATTATGCCTTGGTTTTTCGCTTTGTTGTTTTCCTCAGGTTTTGATACCTTGGCTCCTGGTTTTTGCCAAAAAAAAGTATAGACAGATATTGCCCATTGCTGATTGTTGATGTAACTTTTACTTCAAAATAGACCCTCTCTCGGCCTGATTTTGAAATTTAATTCTATTTACCTTCTGTTTATCTGAAAAATAAGCTAAATGGTTTGCAAGAATAACTACGATCTCTCAAGTAAAGTTGTGGAAATAGCCTGGATTATGCTCAGCGTCGATTACTCCATGCTTTTTTAGTTATTGTTTGCTTTTTTTTTGTATGAAAATCATGAAGGGAAGTCCTGGATCATGTAATTCCTATTCTATATGCCTTGTTCTTGAATCTTATATATATACTCGTATACTTGTCGTTTTGAAGATGGAATTATTACACAAAGTCCAACAACTTTTGATGCTGTCCTCTGTTTCTCTTTAAAGACACGTGTTGGAGGACGTGTTGATGTTGATAAATCTCAGCTTGGATACGTTGAAACCGATCCTTCAGGTCGATACATTGAAAGATTCCTTCATTTTCCCGAGAAAATTTGGAGAGAATGGTTTTTTATGTTAATATCTTAGATCATGCAATTTGTTTTGTATATATATAACTAATGGTTTTTTCAATTTCCCCTAGAAAATCATCTGTACAAGAGAATCTGTATCCAGTTCAGAGAGATTCTGGGTCAAGGAGCAATGATGACAGTGTACAAGGCATTTGATGAGGTCCTTGGAATGGAGGTGGCATGGAATTGAGTTAAGGTCACCGTGTCTTCTGTCGGCAGATCAAATTGCAACGACATTTCTCCGAAGTTCATCTCCTCAAGAACCTCAACCAGGGTTCCAACCTGCTGTTCTATGCGTCATGGATTGAAATTGACGGAAGAACAATCAAATTGGTCACCCAGATGTTAAAATGTCTGCACATTTGTATATCACATTACGAACACCGGAAATTATGGCACCAGAAGGACTACAATGAGCTCGTAGATGTATAGTCCTTTGGCATGTTTGTATTAGCAATACTTACTTTGGAGTATCCTTATAGTGAATGCTCGAATCCAATTTCAAATACACAAGAAAGTGACTGGAGAGTTTTTTCAGTTCTTTAATTTCAGTAAGTTTGACCACTGAACTCTCCAGGGAAGTCGCCAGAGGCATTATACAGGATCCAAGATGAAGAAGCTAGGAGGTTCATTGGTAAATGTCTCGACCAATTGGCTGTTCAGGAGCTCTTGATTGATCCGTTTTTGGCCTTTGATGACATTTTTTTGGGTCAATAACTAGAACGATGGGCCTTCAATGAAGGCTGATCCAATGACTACTAATATGTCAATAACTAGAACGATGGGCCCTGCAGATGACATGTTTTGGGGTCAAAGTGCAGATTAAGACAAGGAAGGTAGTGTAGCATAACCAGAGACGAATTACATTAGGACTAGAGGGGGCCCATTTGGGGATATTATTCTAAGACCTTTCCAAGTTTATAAAAGTTTTATTTATTTCCCTTGGAATATTTAAGAAAAATGTGTTGTTCTCTTAAGATTAATATCGAACTAATCGAAATCCATTTTTACTTGGGTTTATTCCATGTTCGAAACATCTATTTTCCCTTCGACGTAGTAAATGACACCGCGACCAATGTTTGTCTTGGAGACGGTGAAATTATTGGTGATTGTTGATATAATAGATGAGGAGATATACTCTTATCCCGTTTGGAAGGACCGGGGATCATCTCAAGTCCATCAGCACAACTTCAAATACGAAGTAGAAGATGACGATGATCATAACGAAACCCGCCATCTGTTCTGCGTTGCATCCTATAGTTCTTCGTCCCAAGTCTCAGTCCCGGCGCTCCTTTCGTCATATGAAGCATGGATTTCTTACCAAAAATCGTAACTTCTGGTTGCAGCGTATTCAGCAACGACGATGCAAGCTCAAGTTGCTCCATGAACTTGTTCCAAGACTCTAGCATGAACTACAAGACGGCTTCGATTCGAGTATTAGACGAGGCGAGCATCCCTGCATTCCGAAGACCCTCAAATCAGCAAGATTTTGTCCATCAAAGTTCTTACAGCTACAAACTATGCGACGCACGACTCGATTCATGGAAATCTTCAAACTTAAATGGCTAACGAAAATTATTAGTAATGAATCTTAAATTATAGTTTACATTAAATAAGAATCATTTTGAATATTTAATTCAATTTTTTTTTCATGAGAGCAATTTGCCAGTCCAATATAAATTCAATTAACAAATCATATTATTTCCCAAAAAAATAATTCGAAAAAGAAAAAGGGTTTAAAATTAACCCATGATCGCACACTTTCTACCTTTTTACAACCATCACCCTCCAAAAAATGGAATCCACGGTTTTCACCGTCGTTTTATCCCCCCGAAAGCCCTGATCTTGCACAAGTAATTAATAATAAAAAATAAAAACCCCGTGTTTTTAGATCAGAAGGGGCCGCTGGGTTAGGGCGGCGGCGACTGGAAGAACGTGCTCGGACATTCCGTACATCTGTTTGCAATTTGACGTGTGTGATACGAGAAGAACATAACACTGCTGCTGCTGAATTTGTGGTGAAGGATGTCCGATTAATTCGGGCTGCGATTTTTGACTTTAACTGATATATCCTTATAGATCTTTGTGATAAGAGAATAGGAGGGGTAAAATTATGTTTTTTTCTGATGCGTAAAGGAGTAACCTGTAAACTTCAGGTTCATTTCATTCTTTATTCTTTTTGCTGAAATTTACATCTATTTTCATTTTGAGTTTCCCCATCTTGAGCATTTATTTTAGCTGCATTATTACTGGAAAACTGAGAAGGAAACGACTTTGATGCATTAACATTTGTATCTTTTTCATTTTTTGATGGATGTTATTTAAGGAAAAGCAAAATAACTAGTGATTTCCATTCTCTAACCAAAGATTTTACCCATCTCGTAGCGAAATCCTGTAAATAAAGCAAAAGCAGCTCCCATAGAAAGTACATAACGGACACGTGCAACAATAAACTTTTATAAAGTTCTTTAGTCTTTGATTTTTTGATACTATTTTTAGTTTCTAAGCTTAGAGTTCAGTCTTCTTCTTTGTGCATTGTGATATTTTTCACAAACATTCATTATATCATTATTGGATTCTTTGTTAAAGCTTGTCAGGCTGATTTTATTTGTCAAAATATGGACCGTGGTACATATTAATTTTGTCTTTGCCAACTGATCTTTCTGAAGCCTCTAAGTTAGCAACTACTTTGTGGTTGTTAAGTCTGAACTTAACAACCTGACCCTGGGGGTCATAAATGACGTATTGAAGAAGCAAGGTGTGGGTTGTGGGTAAGCTAGAATATCCAATCAACTTAATCGGTTAATCCCTCTTTGTGGTAAGGGTAGCGGCGAAGAAATTGCTTCGCAATGAGTATGAAAAATTTATCGCTGGCCTTATCAAAATATTTTGTTTTTTTCTTCTTTTTTTACATGGCAAGGATTCAACTGCATTTTTTTTGCCTTCCCATATTTGATGAGAATGAATAGTGGATGTGAATGAATATTCTGTATTCTTCCATTATATGAAATCCTCCTCATGAGTGTTATTTAAGATGATTTTTTATAACAATTTAGGATTCAGAAATCATTTTTTTTCATACGTAGTTGGCCATCTTAAAATTTGGCCTCTCTGGTGACAGGTTAGGCTTGTAAAGTGTCTAGTGCAGAACATTGTGGTGGATATCTCATTCATTCAGTTATGGGGCTATGTACCTTGTGCTTTCTTGAGCAGGTAGGTTGCATCATTAAAATTTGACTCTGAATGAAAGCTGCTTTCATACAACTTATTTCATCTGGAAATAGAAAGAAAGATCTGCACTGTTTAGCTGCCAGTATATATTGGAAATGTTCCTGATGTAGACACGTCTTATGTTTCTTGGATTTGGATCTTTTGGTGCCTTTCTTGTGTTTAGGACAAAAAGATGCATCCTTTGCATTGATTGAGAAACTTGGGAGCTGAATATATTCTTCTAAGATCTTTGAAACTTTACTATGTCAAGTAGGAAAACTTACCTGATAGTTTCTCTAATGCCTAAATTTTATATAGCATCATCAATAAATAGGTTTCTGTTTACTTTCCCTAGTTATTGGCAGTGACATCTCTCTCTCTGGCTCATGCGCATTAAATAGATGACAATACTTCTTTCCCTTTCCCGATTTCATTTGCTAATGTTTCCCAATTTATGCTATAATTGAGATATAGACTTAAGGTGTCTGTTATTCTATAGTTTTATGTGTTTATATTTTATACATACTGAGAAAGCTGGCATGGGTATGGGTGTGACTAATTGGCTATATCATTTTTGGGGTAGCCGGAGATGCAGCCTTTATATATACGTGTGTGTGTGTGTATATTAACATCCCTGATAACGTTACAGGTTGATCGTCTTATTGGAAAAGATCATCTATTTAAACGTAAAATTATACTGATTAAGGCTTGGTGCTACTATGAGAGTCGTTTTCTTGGGGCTCATCACGGTTTGATTTCTACCTATGGTTTGGAAACTTTGGTGCTCTACATTTTCCATCTATTCCACTCATCCCTAGATGGCCCTTTGGCGGTGAGTACTGCAGGATTTTTGCACCATAAGCTGATTGATCTCACAACTTTAATTAGTTGAATATATTACAGGTTTTATACAAGTTTTTGGATTACTTTAGCAAATTTGATTGGGAAAAATACTGCATCAGTTTGAATGGTCCAATCCATTTGTCCTCCCTGCCAGATATTGTGGTTAAGCAACAACATTTTTCTTTCGTGCCAAATCTTGTTTGTCCTATTCTAATACATGATTAAGATGCTTTTGTCTTTTATCTATCTCATGCAGTTGAAAATGCCGTAGTCTGACATTTTTCTCTTTCGGCTTCCAACACGCAGGACACTTGTACAATCATTCCATTTAAAAAACGAAGATTTCCCACTTTATCCATTTGAAAAAAGCAAAGAGAAAAGGATGGATCTTAGTTTATAGACAGTAAATGGTAACAAAGTGGAGCAGGTGCTTTAGCTTGTGTGAATATGGCTGCTTGATAGCCATTCCAAGGCTATTTCATCTACTTTTTCTTTTATACTGAGTTATTGATTTATAGGATTATGGATCGATGCCTTTGGTGTTTTCCTCAAGTTTTCATATCTCAGCCACTGTATATATATATATATTGGCGAAAACAAAGTATAGACACACAGATACTGTCAATTGCCTAATTCTTCATGTATCACAAAACGGTCTCTCTTTTTAAAATTCCCTTCTCCGGTTGTCCTTTTAATTCAGCTCTGGCTGATCATGTCGTAATCTGATTTACTGGTTTTTTAATCAATTAATTCAAATCAAGTTTTACTAATAAAATTCAATTTTCTCTTTTTATAACATCTCATTCTATTATACTTTTGTGGCAAATGATTAAGACAAGACAAGAAATATTTAGAAATGTTGACAAATTTCTTATTATTACAACACTTGATGCCTAATGGCCACGTTTGGATATATTGGTCAGCCTCTACACTTTACTTACTAAATTTTAATTGATTAAATAATCCTTGAAGATGTCACAACCGTCTTTCGGTTGGGCCCCAGAATTGGGTTTCGACTTGAAAAATGTGGATTGGAGTCGCCACGATCATTTATTTAAAACAAATGGGTTGATCGGATACCCTATTTCTTACCTGATCTGCGTCTTTCCAAATATGTGTCGGGTTCGGGAGTCGGTTACGGTCAAGGAAGGATTAACACCCTTGAACCGTCATTTCGGTACTACGTAATTTCCAGTTGTCTTTTATTAAGAAAATTGCAAATTAAATTAAAAGGTAAAATTTGATCCGAATTACTTACCCTTAATGAGTTTACGGAAATACCCTTAAAAATAAGATTTTAAAAGAAAATAATAATAATAAAAAAAGTAACAAAACTAAAGAGTAAACCAAAGAAATAAATGAAACCAATAATAATAAACATAAAATAATTGGATGAAAAAAAATGAAATTGAATAAAATAAAATAAATGAAGATAAAATATATATACAAAAAGAATAAAAAATGTAAAGTGTTTTTTTTTTAAAAAAATAATAATAAGAGCAAAGAAACTAAAAATATAATGAAAATAAATAAATAGTATAAATAAAATAATAAAAAATATATATATAAAAATATAAAAATATATGTATAATATAATAAAATACTAAATAGTAATAATAATAATAATAATAATAATAATAAATAAATGAAAAATAAATATACATATAATATTAACTAAAAAATAGTAATCATAGAAATATAAAATAAAATAAAGTAAGAATATATATATATATAACGTTAGGAAAATATAGTAAAAAAATATAGTAAATAAGTAAACATAGATAAAAAAATAATAATATAATATATATATATATATATATATAATAGGAAAATAATATAATATAACGCAAAGAAAAATAAAAAAATTATAACAAATAAATAAATAAAATATAATTAAATATATACATATAAATAATAAAGGTTAAATTAAAATAAAAAATGAATTAGGGGTCAAAATTAAAAGCCAATCGAAGAAAAAAACGACAAAACACGTGGATCCACACGACCCGTTTATAAAAATCCGAATAGTTTTTCAAAAACACAAGCCTCGGGGACTAGATCTACAAAGATAGATCTCGAAAACGCCCCCGTTCATCGGCCAAAAACACTTCTCTCAGTTTTCTTTCGAAATCAAAACACAGCAAGGGTAAGGAAAAATAACATGCGAAGGTATGAACTTTACCTTTCAAAATATAAATGCTTCGAAAAATGGCTACGAGTTGCTTGTAATTTTTTGCTTGGTATTTCTTATATCTTCCTCCGAGTCTATTACAATAGTGAGTTACAATGACTATTTATAATGTTTGTGGATCCTATCTTTAGGAGTTTAAATAATAGTAGAACTCTATCATATTTTTAGGAGTTTGAATCCTAGCAAAATTATATCCTATTTTTAGGAGTTTGAATCCTAGTAGGACGAAAAAATGTGTTGACAGTTGTCCCTCTTTGCGTATAGTCGTATAACGGAGATATGGCAAAGATTAAAAGACACACTTTTCGTTCAGTGGAGTTGAAAATTGACTCTGATGTTTCAATAACTCCCTGTCAAATTGAGTTACGGATGACTCCTCCATCGTGAAGTCGAGTTCATCTTGAAATGATATGAAATTGAAGCCGTAGTTCGGAATTCGAATCAGCACGTGGCTTCCCGTTGCCCTTCGGTCTTCTTCTCGGTTTAAAGACCTTGGATCGAAATCGAACTCAAAAATATTCATTGACAGATAGCTTTTTCTTGACTTAAGCTATGCTGCTTGAAAATGGTTGCTTGTCACTCAGGCACGGCTAACCCAGGTCCTCTTCTCGACTTGAAAACCTCGACTGCAACCGAAAAGTAGTGCGATTGATGTGTCATCGAGCTGAATGGAATAGAACTCGACAATTTTGATGGCAGATAACCCTTCTAGCCTTGAGTTATGCTGTAAATGATGTGCCTTGGAGCTGAGCGTAGTCGAACTCGAAGGTCTTTGTTGACAGATAATTCTTCTTTGAGTTAGATATCCCTCGTCATGAAGTTGAAATCCAATCTAAAGATGGATGATGCTTGTGTGCACGATTCTCTTCGTCGTGAAGTTGAAACCGTTGGTTGCCCCTTCGTCGTGAAGTTGAGCCTGGAATTGGATATCCTTCGTTGTGAAGTTAAAATCCAAGTAAGTAGCATTGTTCCGAGTCCAATATCCTCCGTCGTGAAGTTGAAATTGGCTCTGGAATCGGGAAATTGTTTGTTGACAACCAGTCGTCCCTTCATTGTGAAGTTGAACTTGTGTTGTCTCGAGTCCAATATCCTTTGTTGTGAAGTTGAAATTGGCTCCGAAATTGGGAAATTGTTTGTTGACAACCAGCGGTCCCTTCGTCGTGAAGTTGAACTTGCGTTGTCTCGAGTCCAATATCCTTCGTTGTGAAGTTGAAATTGGCTATGAAATTGAGAAGTTGTTTGTTGACAACCAGCGGTCCCTTCGTCGTGAAGTTGAACTTGCATTGTCTGGAGTCCAATATCCTTCGCTATGAAGTTGAAATTGGCTCCGAAATTGGGAAATTGTTTGTTGACAACCAGCAGTCCCTTCGTCGTGAAGTTGAACTTGCGTTGTCTGTAGTCCAATATCTTTCGCTGTGAAGTTGAAATTGGCTCCGAAATTGGGATATTGTTTGTTGACAACCAGCGGTCCCTTCGTCGTGAAGTTGAACTTGCGTTGTCTCGAGTCCAATATTCTTCGCTGTGAAGTTGAAATTGGCTCTGAAATTGGGAAGTTGTTTGTTGACAACCAGCGGTCCCTTCGTCGTGAAGTTGAACTTGCGTTGTCTGGAGTCCAATATCCTTCGTTGTGAAGTTGAAATTGGCTCTGAAATTGAGAAGTTGTTTGTTGACAACCAGCGGTCCCTTCGTTGTGAAGTTGAACTTGCGTTGTCTGGAGTCCAATATCCTTCGCTGTGAAGTTGAAATTGGCTCTGAAATTGGGAAGTTGTTTATTGACAACCAGTGGTCCCTTCGTCATGAAGTTGAACTTGCATTGTCTTGAGTCCAATATCCTTCGCTGTGAAGTTGAAATTGGCTCTGAAATTGGGAAATTATTTATTGACACAACCAGCGGTCCCTTCGTCGTGAAGTTGAAGTTGTGTTGTCTAGAGTCCAATATCCTTCGTTGTGAAGTTGAAATTGGCTCTGAAATTGAGAAGGTGTTTGTTGACAACCAGTGGTCCCTTCGTCGTGAAGTTGAACTTGTGTTGTCTGGAGTCCAATATCCTTCGCTGTGAAGTTGAAATTGGCTCTGAATTTGGGAAGTTGTTTGTTGACAACCAGTCGTCCCTTCATTGTGAAGTTGAACTTGTGTTATCTCTAGTGGCACGATATTCTCCGTCGTGGAGTTGAAATCGCGGATAGCCACTTCGTTGTGAAGTTGAGCCTTGACTTGAATATCCTTCGTCGTGAAGTTGAAATCCAAGTATTGTATGTTGCGGGTGGACACAATTCCCTTCGTCGTGAAGTTGAAATCGTGGAGACCCCTTTATTGTGAAGTTTGGCTTCGAGCTAGATATCCTTCTTCGTGAAGTTGGAATCCACTCACGAGCAAATTGTGTTGTTTCGAGAGAAACTTTCAATCTGTCGAGTTGGTTGAAGTGTAGCTTCTTGCTACTGAGTTAAGCAACCAATATGAATCTTTAAAGGTGCTTTTGAATCGAGTATCCTTCGTCTTGAAGTTGAAACTTGACTCTAAAAGCTGCAAAAAATTATGTATGTGGAAAATGATAAATATGATGCTCTAAAATGTATGCATAAGATGCATGTAACATGAATTGGTTATATTTTATCTCCTGAAAAAGGTCTGATAATTTGCATTAGGATGTTGAATCCCCAAATGATGCCCCAATATCCAAAAATGCCCCAATATTTGATGTTGCATCTCCAAAGATGCCCCAAATGTTCCTCATTTCTTGTTTCAGCATTGATTCTGAGCATGAGTTTTGTGTCTAAGAGTCACATGTCATTTACCAATATCCACTCTAGAGAGACTGTCTTGTTTGAAAAAAAATGTTTTTCTTTCTCTTTTATTTTCAAAGTTTTGAAAATATCAATAAAGAGTTTCGAAAAATGTTTAATCAAAAGTTTTGAAAATATTGTCTCTTTCACGGTTTTACAATTGAGACGAATCATAAAACTAGAGTTCATTGGATATCAAATGTTTAATTACAATGTTAATCCTTCAATAAATTATAGCTATTTGACACGTGCCAAGATCAAAGCTATCTTTGGGAAATGGTTAAGTAATGAAAGGATAAAAAGGTCTCAGGTTATTGTGTTTGGTCAAAGGTTTGGCATTTGATGCTCAAAGGTTTGACATTTGATGCTCAAAGGTTTGATGGGGTAGCTTGCATGCTCCTCTACTGGAAGTGTTCTCTGACTCCCAACTTTCATAGTCACATTTAGATTGTGCGATGCCTTATCAAGGAATTTGTGTGATCGCCTCAGTTGCACAATTTTTATATTCGAGCCGCCTTTTCAGGTTTTCAACTCGAATCCTCCTTTGGTTTCAAGATGTTATTCAGGATTTACGTCTTGAACCCCATTTTGTTATTTTTCTCTACCATACATTAATTACATTGTTTTTTGCAAACAAAGATTAATCCTGATGGGCGGGATGAAATCTGAAGATATTCTCTTTTGTTTAGAAATCCATGTATGATTAGAATGGACTTTTAAGGCACATAATGTAGGCCAGGGTTCATGGTTATGAAAGAAAAGGATAAATAGGTCCAAATAAGTGTTTCAGGGTATTGAACCAAGGATCAATTCATTCTGATGCCTTCAATCTTGCTCAAAATGTTTCTCTCTCTTGATGCTCTATGATCTTCGAGTGAAGTGATTTAGTGATTCGGGAATGATTGTGCTTGATCAATCTCATAGTTTGAAGCTTGATGTACCATTTTTCTTTAGAAAAATTTTGCATGTGCTTTTTTGTCCCTTTTTCTTTTTGATTTTTGTTCTTTTTTTTTTGTTTTCTTCTTTTTTGCTTCTTTTCTTTTTTGTTTTTGCCCTTTTTGTTCTGATTGAATATTCGCACTTGGCATTTGGTTCACCTTTTGGTATCTTATCTGAATCAATGTCTTCGCTCATGTGAGCATATTTCTTCCACCTTGCCCCCCAGTGTGGAGGGTGATCCTTGGTTAGGGTTGAATCAGAAGAAAAATACTATAGGCTCAAAAGGGGACACGAGGGATATATTTTTTCTCCTGTTGTGAAGGGATAAAGAAAGAAAGTCATTCATCATTTCATACATGTAAATCTTCACAGAAGAGGTATCCCTAGGGGGATAGATTTTCAAGATTAATTCTATTCACATGAAAACAGTGTAATTAATGAATGATAGAATTATTTCGAATGAATTCTTCTTCTTTTTTCCCAGATGTCTCAATGTTCAGGCTCCCCGCGAGATGCCCCAAGTTGGTTCTTTAGAAGAATGCTCATGTTAAAATGAACAACTCAATACCTTGGGTTTTAATGGTAAGAAAGGTTATTTTTGAGTCTAAAAAAGACAATGGTGTGATCTTATTGACTCAAAGAAAGGTATGAGTGTATCAAAAAGATAAAGGCAATGTTCAAGAATTTCAAAATGAGGTAATGTCAAAATTTCGTCTTTTGGTAATGACCACGAGTTGTTTTGGGCAAAAAATCAAGGTATTTTATTCTGGGGTTTGAGACAGGGTAAGAAAGGTATAATATTTTCATATGTCAAAAATCTATAATTCTTGAAGAATTAAAAGAATCATTAATTCATTTAATATTCGAAGAACTAAAGATTAAAATTTGTTCAATTGCTCCACCTTAGAAAGCAGCATAAATTCAATCATTTAAAAGATTAAGCAAACATGAAAGATCAAAGACGTGTTTAAACAAAACAATCCTCTAAGTGCAAATGGTATATGCCATGCCCCCTTCTTCGGCAAGCGCCTTACAGTTTTCAGAGGAATGTTTGGGGCTTCTTATATGGTAGCAGCTAACAGCTTCAACATAGTAGCCCTTAGGATATGAGGATTCTTTTCTTAGATCATCCTGGCAGGCTTTGTCCTATAATCAGCTGATCAGGCTCCCACTGTATTGTTTTCAATTTTTTTCTTTTGATGTTACAATCTTGGTTCCATGTGGTGTCATGTGGTTAAAACCACTTCATCGAATCCTCCATGAAGAAATTTTATGTTTATGAAAATGCTTAAAAATGAAATGTAGATGCACAACGCAAAATAAAAAAAAATGCATGAAATGTTCGAGGCATTGATCCAGAAAAGTGCCCATTATTATAAATAATCCTTATTTCGACAAAAATATTTTATCTTGTAAGAGACATAAAAACAATCAAATGTACATTCAGACTAAATCCTCTAGACCCCGAATAGCTTCCAACAGGTTGACAAGTCTTCTGTTTTCATCTGTCACTGGTTGTATGCCTTGTTGTACCACTCCAGCTTCCCTTGCCAGGCCGCATAGATGGCGAGCTGCCTTCTGTACTTGATCCAGGAAATCTCGGATGAATGCGTCTATGGCCTTCACCCTTTGTTGTGCTTGCTCCCAACGGAAACGCCATTGCAAACCCCTGTCGAAGGGCACTATCTGAAGCTCACTCGCTTGCTTTTTGAAGCTATTGTTTTACCATCTTTCTCATGTTGTTTCTCCAATTCATCCATTTGGATTCTCAGGCGTTGGATTCTCAGGAGTTATCATTAACTTTATCTTGGTACTCCTTTCTCAAGTCTTCAAACTCAAAATAGACTCTTTTCTGCTCCCTTTCCAGTTTGTCTGCTCTATCTTTCTGAGAATTGGCATCTAGTTTCCATTGATAACGTTCAGCTTCAAGTTCCTTAACTCTCTGTTTCAGCTCATTATTCACAGCTTTAAACTCTACCTTGACTATCTCAAGTTCAGAAGGGACATGCCTAAGATGTTCCTCCATGGTCCGGGTGTCTTCACAGTCTGGCATCGGGATGCTATCATTCTTTCTCAATCTTCGCCAATCCATATAATCCGGAGTAAGCATATCTCTGGCAGCCACGACATCCATCCGGGATACTTTCTTCCATGACTCGACTGCCTCTTTGATCCTCTTCTTATAACTGTCACCGTGATATACAAACTCTGATGTAGATAATCCGTATGTTGCTGGGATAAACTGACGTGCCCCATATTGTCTAAGTGCCAACAACAGAGCATACCCAACTATATCCCAAAGTCCAAGTAAGGTCATAGTGTCAGAATCCCCAAATCAGAAAAGAACGTCACTGAGGAACAACCAGGGGGCTCTCCAAGTAATATCCTGGTCCTAAAGATGAGTGAAGACCTTCATCCATTCTTCCTTCGAAGCGCCTTCATGCTATTTCATAGTGATGAACTCTCCCAATGATGAATAGGTAGTGCTGAATCGGCGGTAGGCAACCCCGTTAGTCTTCCAGAAGTGGCTGTGAATCCAGACTTGAAGGAGCTGAACACATCCAATGAACCTTCCTCCACCAGTTCTTCTGCAATGATTAAGAGACCGAAAGGTCTCGGCTAAGATGGTCGGCGCTGGGTTGACTCGCCTTGAAAGTTTTTCAAATAGTTATACTACGGCTACGTCGATTCACCCCAAGGTCTTTGAAAAGATAATCAAACCGTACAGACCCAGTGCAAAAAGATCTATAGTCTTCCATTCATCAGGGTGGTTCTTCATTAGTTGCTTTATATGGATCCACTCGATTCATTCCCCGCTACCTTTGTGTCAGAGTCGATTAGTCACCCACTTTTCATCAACCCCTGCAATCTTGGCCAGTCCGTTCTTAAAAGGCTGACCCTTGATATGTTTGATATATGCCTTCTCTAGTCTGATGCTTTCGCAGTGCAGTAGTGTGGTATACTCTTCGATAGTGGGCACCATGTCCTCCCGGTTAAAGGTGAAGCAACTATATCCCGGGTTCCAGAATTGAATCAGTGCTCGGAGCAGGGGATCATCAGTCTTGACATGAAGTAAGAGGGCAATATCACCATATCGTTGGCTGAACTTCTGCTTTCTGTCATTCTTCCAACTGTCCCAAATGTTTCGCAACTCTTGGACATCATTCTGTTTTAGGCTGACAGAGGCATAGCTAACCAGCTCTGACACGTAGTTCCCCTGAAGACTGTCTCCCTTCTCTTTCTGAGTCATCTCGGACCATAGTCGTGCCTCGACGTTCTTAATCTCTTGTATTACAACACCTTTGTCCATTAATTCAGATTATTTTGTGTGTAACAAACGCTTTTTAAGGATCAATAGCCTCTTGTTATGATGCAAATGCTAAAAAAACAAACACAAAGGCAAAAATGTTAGTAAAATAAATAAATAAATAAATAAATGACGAAAGGAAAAAAAGACATGGTTAAGGTAAAAATATCATAGGTTTCAAAAATGTGGTTTCGGGGTAGGCTCTAATTCTCCATGGTCTCCCAGTTTAAGTTCTAAAAACGGTACTCGAGATCTCCTTGCCGGTGCCCCCTTGGGCTTGCCGGTGCCCTCTTGGGCTTGCCAGACCCTTAGTCATAAACCCATCACAGCTTGTGTGGACTAAGTTAAACTCGAGGGGACACATTCCCTTATGCCCGCACGGTGAATAAATTCACACGAAGACATAAGATATATGAATCTCGAAGGCTACTTGCTAGGCCCGCACGGTGAATAAATTCACACGAAGGCGTCGCTTTCACCCCCACTTAAAGCAGGGTTTGGAGCTCGGGTTTAGAGCCTTAGATGAAAAATCTTTAAGGGCTGAAATCATTAAAAAACGGTTAGTACAACTATTTACTCGAAAATATAATCAAAAGTAAGTAATAAGGATCGAAATATTACCTTAAAATTTAAACTTACCCTTTTCATTAAAAAGACAACTGGAAATTACCTTAGCCTGACTCACTTACCTGTCTCCCCAGCGGAGTCGCCAAGCTGTCGCAACCGTCTTTCGGTTGGGCCCCGGAATTGGGCTTCGACTTGAAAAATGTGGATTGGAGTCGCCACAGATCATTTATTTAAAACAAATGGGTTGATCGGATACCCCATTTCTTACCTGATCTGCGTCTTTCCAAAGATGTGTCGGGTTCGGGAGTCGGTTACGGTCAAGGAAGGATTAGCACCCTTGAACCGTCCTTTCGGTACTACGTAATTTCCAGTTGTCTTTGATTAAGAAAATTACAAGTTAAATTAAAAGGTAAAATTTGATCCGAATTACTTACCCTTAATGTGTTTACGAAAATACCCTTAAAAATAAGATTTTAAAAGAAAATAATAATAATAAAAGAAAGTAACAAAACTAAATAGTAAATCAAGGAAATAAATGAAAGCAATAATAATAAACATAAAATAATTGGATGAAAAAAAATGAAATTGAATAAAATAAAATAAATGAAGATAAAATATATATACAAAAAAGAATAAAAAAGGTAAAGTGTTTTTTTTAAAAAATAAAAATAATAATAAGAGTAAAGAAACTAAAAATATAATGAAAATAAATAAATAGTATAAATAAAATAATATATATATATATATATATATATATAAATGTATGTATAATATAATAAAATATTAAATAGTAATAATAATAATAATAAATAAATGAAAAATAAATATACATATAATATTAACTAAAAAATAGTAATCATAGAAATATAAAATAAAATAAAGTAAGAATATATATATATAACGTTAGGAAAATATAGTAAAAAAACATAGTAGATAAGTAAACATAGATAAAAATAATAATAATATAATATATATATATAATAATAAAAAAATAATATAATATAACGCAAAGAAAAATGAACAAAAAATTATAACAAATAAATAAATAAAATATAATTAAATATATAAATATATATACATATAAATAATAAGGGTTAAATTAAAATAAAAAATGAATTAGGGGTCAAAATTAAAAGCCAATCGAAAAAAAATGACAAAACACTCGTATCCACACGACCCGTTTATAAAAATCCGAATAGTTTTTCAAAAACACAAGCCTCGGGGACTAGATCTACAAAAATAGATCTCGAAAACGCCACCGTTTATTGACCAAAAACACTTCTCTCAGTTTTCTTTCGAAATCAAAACACAGCAAGGGTAAGGAAAAATAACATGTGAAGGTATGAACTTTACCTTTCAAAATATAAATGCTTCGGAAAATGGCTACGAGTTGCTTGTAATTTTTTGCTTGGTATTTCGTTTATCCTCCTCCGAATCTGTTACAATAGTGAGTTACAATGACTATTTATAATGCTTGTGGATCCTATCTTTAAGAGTTTAAATAATAGTAGAATTCTATCATATTTTTAAGAGTTTGAATCCTAATAAAATTTTATCCTATTTTTAAGAATTTAAATTTTAGTAGGACGAAAAGATGTGTTGACACAAGATAATAACGAGATAAAAAGGTGGCGGTGGGCTTCATAATCTCTCAAAAAGTGTTACAAATATTACTGTCTATTCAAATACCCTTTCCTCTTTGTTAACTCTTCACTCAAAAAGGTTGGTTGATTCATTCACCATATATTTCTCCAAATTATTATTATTATTATTATTATTATTATTATTATTATTATTATTATTATTATTATTATTATTATCAATTATAGTCTGAAATAGAAAAAACTATAGGATATATCAAAATATTGTTTTTAAAATATTTTTTTGAAATAATTTAATTAAGTTAAGATTTCCATGTTGCATGCTTGCTTTGGATTCTTTTGGCGTCTTTGGTTTATTTGATTGAGGAATTGAAAAACTACATATTTTTTTAAAGCAAATCAAAATTAATTATTATTAATTCTCGAACTCCTTGAGTGATTTTAATAGTTAAAGGAAATATTAATCTCACATTAAAATATTTGTACTTATGAAGCACTTATATAAATACCAATTAAGAATAAATACATAATTTTATGTTAAAATATATGGTAGCGTTTTTCACTATTATTGCATGTATCCTATTACTAGATACCTAGGGAAGGTGGATAAATTTTTCTTTTGAAAACATATGGTATATTTACAATCATTTGAGACACTAATATAAAAATAATTATTTTAAAGGTAAAACTAGAAAAATATTGCCCATGAAAAAAATTATAATAAAATAAAATAAATCCGAATTCATTTTGGAATTTTGAATTCATTGTATATTTACCCTAAACATATTAGGTTTCTATTCTGTAATTTTTTTAATGTAAATGTATGTATTAATGTTTACCGTCAACACTGCTTATCTCACCTAGCTGCCAGCCATAGTTAATTAATTTGCTCTGAACCGGAACCCTGATTTTGACGTTTAATCCTATCCTAAATTTACTCACTCAATTCATTGGTTTGATTGATTGTTTAGAGATTTGATTGGAGATTGTCAATTCGCATCAGCTGTCTGTAAATTGCAAGGAAAGAGCACCTCAAAATGCCTTCAAAACCTATATTTCCATCGTCACAGTTTCCTGTGTTGATTTACAATCCCAGAAAACAAACCACTTCGAATCTGCCTACCTCCAACATTATAAAAAATATTTGAATCCAAAGTCTTTCAATATCAAATGGTGCTTTCAAAGCGTAGCTTTCAAAGTTTAGCTCTTCAGTTTCAACCTGGAAATTGATTCTGCTCCACACAAAAACAAAGACGAACCCAGATTTCATTTCCTTTTGATTAGCAAAAAGCTTCCTTTTGTGTTCTTTTCTATCTAAAAACTCTGTTTTTCTAAAACTAAGCTAAATGGTTACCAAGAATTACAACGATTTCTCGAGTGAAGTTGTGGAAATGGCTTGGATTATGCTCAGCGTCGATTACTCTAGACTTTTTGGTTATTGTTTGGAGTTTTTTCGTATGAAAATCATGATGGATAGCCTCGGATCGTATAACACCTTGACCTACTATTCTTGTTCTTGAATTAAACATATACTCGTAGGTAAATCGTATATTTAGTGTTTTGAAGATATAATTTTTACACAAAGCCCGACAACTTTTGAGGGTCTCTGCTGTTTTGGCTCATGACAACGTTTAAAACACGTGTTGGGGGATGTGTTGTTGGCGTTGAATCTCAGCTTGGATACGTTGAGACCGATCCTTCTGGTCGATATGGACATGTACGTTTCCTTCTCATTTCTCTAGAAAATTTGCAGAGAATAATTTTTTATGTTAATCTTCTAGATTTCTGTAGTTTGTGTAGTATGCATGTATGTATGTATATATATAAGTACTGATATTTGGTTCCATTAATTTTCCCTAGACAATGACTGAATCTGTTGCTTTAAATGAGAATTTGTATGCAGTTCAGGGAGATTCTGGGTAAAGGAGCAATGAAGACAGTGTATAAAGCATTTGATGAGGTCCTTGGAATGGAGGTAGCATGGAATCAAGTTAAGCTCTCCCATTCGCCGGACGAAGTGCAGCGGCTTTATTCCGAAATCCACCTCCTCAAGAACCTCAACCACAGTTCCATCATGCGGTTATACACGTCCTGGATTGATATCGACCGAAGAACTTTTAACTTTGTGACCGAGATGTTCACCTCCGGCACCCTTCGAGAGTAAATCGCTTATCCGTTGATCAAACGTATATGAAGCCTAATTTGTAATGCCAATTTTTAATATGCAACTATACATACAGGTACAGGCAGAGGCACCAGTGTGTTGATACTCGAGCAGTTAAGAACTGGTCTCGCCAAATCCTACAAGGTCTGGTTTATCTCCATGGCCATGATCCTCCAGTGATCCATAGAGACCTCAAATGTGATAACATCTTTGTCAATGGTCACACTGGACAAGTTAAGATCGGCGATCTTGGATTGGCTGCAATTCTTCAGGGCTCACGACATGCTCATAGTGTTATAGGTATGTTCTCAATTTGCAGCATCCACTCAAATCCCATGCCACTCTGTCTATATATGTATCTTTGTATGCTGAATGTCTGCACATTTGTATACCATGCTAGGTACACCGGAATTCATGGCACCGGAACTGTACCAGGAGGATTACAACGAGCTTGTTGATGTATACTCCTTTGGCATGTGTGTATTAGAAATGCTTACTTCAGAGTATCCGTATGTCGAGTGCTTGAATCCGGCTCAAATCTACAAGAAAGTGACTTGGGTGAGTTACTTTCGGTTCATTAATTTTGGTAACATTAACCATCGAACTAATCTATTTCATTTTCTCAACTCTCCAGGGGAAGTTGCCAGAGGCATTATACAGGATCCAAGATGAGGAAGCTAGGAGGTTCATCGTGAAGTGTCTCAACCACGTTTCAAAGAGAGTGCCTGCTCACGAGCTCTTGCTCGATCCGTTTTTGACCTCTGGTGATGGGAATTTGCTGCCGCCAGTTGCTGAGCTAGTGCCTTCGATGCCAGCTCATCCTATAAGGACTACGAACATGTCAATAACTGGCACAAGGGACCCTGCAGATGACACAATTTTTCTCAAAATACAGATTACAGAGAAGGAAGGTATACATTGGACTAATCTGAATCCATTTCACTAGGTTTGATTTCGGTTAACAGCCTGCTAATATAATGGATTTTCCGGTGTTATAGGTCATGCTCGGAACATCTACTTTCCCTTCGACATTGTAAACGACACCGCGATCGTCGTTGCCTTGGAGATGGTGAAAGAATTAGAGATCAACGACTGGGAGCCACTGGAGATTGCTGATATGATAGAGGAGGAGATCTCTTCCCTTATCCCAACTCGGAAGGACTTGGGATCCTTCCAAGTCGATCATCAGCACACCTTCAAATACGAAGACGATAATTACGATGTTGATCATGACGGAATCCACCATCCGTTTTACGCTGCATCATCCTGTTCTTCGTCCCAGATCTCTCTCTCGGCACTCCTTTCATCGTATGAAACACGAAATCCTCATGGTAAAAACGTAACATCTGGTGGCAGTGTATCTAACAATGATGATGCAAGCTCAAGTTGCTCCATGAACTCGTTCCAATACTCCAGCATGAGCTACGAAGAAGACAAGTTAGATTCGAGTCTCCAACAAGGCGAGCATTCCGGCATCCTGAAGACCCTGAAATCAACAAGATTCTGTCCCTCAGAGAGTACAAGCTCTTACAACTACAAACAATGCGACCCGCAGCTTCATTCACGGAAATCTTCAAACTTAAATGGCCAGCGAAAGCTAACAAAGATCCGTTCACTCATCGACATACGTAGCCAGTTTCTGCACCGATACGTAGTGGCAGAGGTAAATAAAAGGCGGTTGTTCAACACTGTCGGAGACGTCGAGAACATCGGATTTCAGTATCCCACAGAGGGTTCAAGTAGCAGCCTGAATCCAAGGATTTCAAGATCCTGATCGTGGGGGATTTAGCTTGTTAAGATCCCATTCCATAACTATCTGTGTGTGTATTCTAGTAGTAACAATTACCCGAGCTGTAAGTAATACGATAACGTCTTAAATTTGAGAAAATAAACTTCAAAAAATCTATTTTTCATTAAATATAAACTTAATTGATTTTTATATATATTTTGAATCACATAAGTTTTGATTAAATATAAACTTAATTGGATTAGATTCCGACCATGGCCCTGGTTTAATCTCCTGTTCCCGATTCTCGGAGAATGTGTTCGAAGCCTGACACCAGAAGAACTGACACTGGATTTCTTTACAGGACAAGTGTTTCTGTCTTTGTTGTTGTGTTTCTTCTTGATGTCCTTTATCAAGTGGTTGAACTTAGCCGTTTCGTTACGATCGGAGGGAGTTCGACCTCGGGCATCTCGTCGATTTTCTTAACATCAGCGTCGGATGATTCCAACGGGGAGCTGTCATCAGAAGAAGACAAAGACGAGGAAAAAGCCGGGTAATCCGGCGGAGAATCAGCTTTACTCCACACCGTCTCACGGCAGCTACAACCGGTTGAAACGGAGGAAGAAATCACTGTGGACGGAGGCTGCGGCGACGACGTACTGAAGTTTCTTCTCCTGGAATGATATCGTTTCTTGGAAGATTTTTTCGGCGGCTCAGGCTAAACGTAGAGTCCATCGACGGGAACAAGCTCCCTGGAGATATAATAAGAATTTCTGGGATTAAGATCGTGGGGTTGTTGCTGCTGCTTCGATTTTGACGGCGGTTGCTGTGTTCTTTCCTTGGAAAGATGAGTGTTTCTGGGTCTGCCCATGTCCTTGAGCTTGTAAAACCAGGCATTGGGGATCATATCTGATAACTTGAACCTGTAATTCCCCATTCAGAAATCTGGGTTGTCTTCAAAGCTGTTTGAAGATATGGATGAACACACTTGGATCATTGTGTTATTGAGAGATGGGATTGACTGACTGAAGAAGAAGAAGAGCAGGGAAGGTGCATAAGAACAGAAAAAGTGCGAGTTTGAAATTAAGATTGGGTCCAGAAATAGTTGGCATAAAGGAAAAATGAAAATAAAAATGTGGGAATTGGCATTCCTAGTTGATTTTACTACAGGTACATATTTGGCTCCCAATTCTAATCCAACTTTTCTGAGATTTAATACCTCTTATCACGGATTTTCCTACGGATTTAATATTAATTTTGATTAATAAGATGATAAGTTGCAATAATTTTTTTTTAATTTTCATATCAACATTAAATTATCATATCACACATTTTCAAATATAACGACCTTACGTTTTTAATTTAATCTTAAACTAAAATTTAATATTTAGATTAAAACATTTTAAAATTTAGTATTAAATTCAATACTCGTCTTAAAATTTAACGAGTAATGATACAATCAATGTCAAGAGGAAATAGTCGAAGATGATGGATTCAAATCATGCTCGTTGGGATTTTAAAAAACACGCCGTCATATGAATTTATTAAAACAGTCAACTGTTAAATTTTAATGTATTATTTCACTCCTTTAATAGTAGTTAACATCATATATTTATTTTAAAATAATTATTTATAAACTTTATTCATATTAAAAAAATCACATTCAAATTTAATACGAATGTACAATATTTAATCTCGAATTCAAATACCATAAAATTTATTCACGTTATTCACCTTCATAACAAATGATGGCCAAAGTAGGCATTGGATAATCCTTTTAAGTGACAAGCAGTAATCATATGTACTTCCTTCTTCAAACTTTAGTGTGTTAGGTGTTGTTACTATTCATTACATAACCCATTCATGTAATCAATAGTCTTGTGTCAAACCATATGTTATTTAAGAAAATTATTATGATTTGTTATATCTTTTTATTTTTATTTCTCTTATCTCTTTGTCTATCATTTGTTATTGATATTTTTTTTACTCTTTTTTTTTCTTGAATAAGTTGAAATAGATGTCGAGTATTTGTATATTTACATTTCTTTCCTTTATATATGTATAGTCGGATTTTTTAACTCGAGATTGATGGAGTTTCATATTGGAATAGAAATATGTCATGTTGAAATGTATGTTAGAGAGGGAGGATATAGATGAGGAAATGATGTACGACTTGGAATAAATGAAGCAATGCATTGGAACATGTATATAGTGATAACGCCATCCCAACTGCTCTTTGGGGGCATGGTCTCAAGTTCTCAACCACCATTATCATTGGAGGGAATATTATTTTTTATTTAAAAAAACCCATTTCTAATGTCCAATAAATTATTTACTCGGAATTTTCTTTTTTTTAAAAATGTTCTGCTCAGTTATTGTTTGAGTTTTATTTTTTTTTTCAAAAGATTAAAGAGAGTACAATTAAAAGAAGAGAAGCATCAGTGGCAGAACAACTGATTAAGCTTTAGCCCTGCCCCAATCATTTTGGGCCTTCATAGGTTTATAGAAAACAAGGGTAAACTATAAGGATGGTACCTTTTATTTTTGGTTTATTATGTTTGGATCAGCTGTTTTGAAATCCTATTCTCTAACCTGTTGTTACCACCGTCGCCGTCTATCATTGTCACCTCTATCAGCCCAAACCTTAATCCTCTTGGCAATTATGACCTAAACTAATGAGCGGGGCATGTGATTGCGAGTGATTCCATCTTCATGTCAAAAATCAACAACAAAAATGTTAATAATAATCAAATTTCATAATGAATACAAGTAAATTTAAAGATAAGGCCTGCTTCACGGTAATGAGAGTGTTAACGTCCACCATAGTGGCTTAGATTGACAGAAGAAGGTTAAAACACATTTCAATTACGAATTAAAACAAAAATCTAAAAAAATAAATATAAAAAAACTCTACCAAGTGATTTGAAACAATGGTTAAAACACATTTCATAACATTCTTAAATCCCAAAGTTTGACATTCAGAATTGAACAGTTCTTTAAATTTTTTTTTTAAAAATCCGAAAATTCACTCCACTATAATTATATTTTTAAATATATGCTTTTTATATACTGTTTTCACTATTTTTTTTCTTAATTACGTTAGAATTCTCACATTAATTTGAATGTTAATTAAAATAAATAAATAAAACAGCACATCTTTGAATTTTTTTTACACTTTTTAATTAGGATTAGTCGAATTTTTGTTACAACTAATTAAACTTTTTATTCAGTTAACCGTTAAACATAGCAATCCAGTATAACGATGTTTTCCCGCGAAAAGAACTATGCCTCGTGGGTGGCTACCATTTGTCTCCAGCTCACTCGTACCAATACAAGCAGTTCATTCAATATAGAAATAATTACTTTAAAATTTACGAAAATAACACGTGTCGAGTTGAAATATTAAGACAAAAAGTCTTTAAATTGCTTCCCTTTCCCCTCCAAAATCCCAACTCTCCATTTCTGTTCCTCTTATTAGTTTGATTGGCAAGAATTCGAAGTACCCAGCTTTTAACTCGGTTTTGTATTCAGCTACTCACTGAATCATCAGTTGCTTTCTAGAAATGACAATTGCGGAGACCTGTGACAGCTCAGACAATGAGCTGTCGGATGTTTCATCGGAGATGGCACTGTTCAGAAAGTACGAGGTAGACAAACTGTTGGGGTGCGGGGCGTTTGCAAAAGTTTACCAAGCGCGCAATGTGAAGACCGGGGAGATCGTTGCGATCAAAGCCGTGAACAAACGGAAAGTTGTCCGGGGAAAGCTGATGGCGCAGGTTAAAAGGGAGATCGCCATCATGCGGCGGCTGAACCACCCCAACATCGTCAAACTCATCGAAGTGTTGGCGACGACGAACAGGTTTTATTTTGTTATGGAATACGCGAAAGGCGGGGAGTTGTTCACGACGATAACCAGGGGACGTTTCAGCGAAGATCTCTGTCGTCGTTATTTCCAGCAGTTGATTCTGGCTATCGGATTTTGCCACTCCAGAGGCGTTTACCACCGCGACTTGAAGCTTGAAAACCTCCTCCTCGACGAAAAATGTAATTTAAAAGTAACCGATTTCGGACTCGGAGCTCTGTCGGAACACGTCCGACAGGACGGACTCCTCCACACGTTATGCGGAACTCCGGCTTACATTGCTCCGGAGATTCTCGCTAGGAAAGGATACGACGGTGCCAAAGTCGATGTCTGGGCGTGTGGCATCATTTTGTTCTTCCTCCACTCTGGGTATCTCCCGTTCACTGATTCCAATACCACGATGCTGTACCGTAAGATTTTTCGAGGTGAATTCAATTTTCCAAAATGGACGTCGCCGCAGCTCCGACGATTCATTTCCCGCCTCCTCGATGCCAACCCAGAAACAAGGATCACCATTGCTGCAATCATGAAGGACCCATGGTTTAAGAACGGCTATAAAGCAATCACAGTCTACCCTGAAGATTACGAAATGAAAGAAGAAACACAAAGCAACGCACGATTAAACGCTTTCGATTTAATCTCTTTCTCATTGGGTTTCGACCTCTTTGGTCTGTTCAACGACGTCGATTTTTCCATCCAACGAGAGCGATTCCTATCGGCGGAGACACCGTGGACTATAATAGAGAGAATCGGGGAAGAGGTGGAAAAAATCCGGAACTTAGAGGTGATAAGAATGACAGAAAGTAAGATACGTTTGGAACACCAGGGCAGCAATTTAGTTATCGCCATTGATATTCATCGGTTGACGGATAAGCTCGTGGTGGTGGAGGTTAACCGTCGGGAGCTCAAAGCCGGGTCAAGTGACAAAATTTGGAATGATAAATTAAAACCCAGACTTTCCGATTTGGTGTATAATTCTGGAAGTGAAACAACGCAATAAGTTTCAGGGTAATTCCATATTTAGGATCACTTAGTCATGAATTGGCATTGCTCACTCTGGTATAGCTGAGAACTGACCGAAAATGAAGGGCTGTCGGCGGCGGCTCAAAATTTAAAAAAAAGAAGAGAAACATCCTATTCCTCGGTGTGTGTTGTCTCGAACAATTCTTGTGTTTATTGAGGTTGTTCCGGAAATGGGAGCAAAGTGAAAACTAAAAAACTTGGTCTTCTACGAGCATGTTGCATGTACATTCATAATTGGCTCAGGAATTTCTTTTACCATAAATGACAATTTTGAAATACATTTTCAAAAAAATATGAACATTGTTCTTACAAAGAGGAATGAACAGTGAGGTTCTTTGCTCTTTCTTCAACCTATTGACAATGGTAGCAGATACGTTTTTTGTAGACGCTTTGGCTTGTAGATGTGCGCTACATTTAGCAAGCAAGCTCAGTTAGAAGATTTCTTGATTGCTCCACCGGAACATCGATCGGAACATCAAACAACTGAAAGATATTATTTTGTCGTTTTAGTCTCGGGGTTTGTCTCCCTACTCTTAAGAGGATCCTGAAAGTGCCTAGGTTGAGAGAACATGATCCGTGCTCTTAATTTTAGTTGATTTTGTGCACTTCTGGGTACATGCTGAGAAATCTGTCCCTATATTTATTTGTGATATGCAACATGTGAGCCATGGTCTTATAAAAATTTGAATCATCTCGATTCAATTTTACATGTTCGGATTGGTTTGGTTAATATCTACACCTCATTACTAAAATATCTCTCTTAAAATGAAAACCAGAAATGTAATTCAGTTGACTTGAACAAACGTACCAAGAACCCACACAAATACAACTTTAAATACTGGTCCTAACTTTATTACACCAACCATATATAGAAAATACCAAGGAAGATAGTTTGAAAATACGAAAACGAATTAACAAGGTGATCAACTGTGGGTCGAAACCGCACGGAATTGTTGCGACTCTTGATGCTCCATAGGCAGCGGTGGTGGTGGTAGTGGCGGCTGCGGCGGCAACTCGCCTTGCCAAGCCCAAACAATGTCGCTCAGTGCCGGTCTAATATCTTGTTTCATTACCTTCTGGTACTCCAATGTGTCTCCATTGCTCTTCTTTACCTCGACCAGATGGAAAAATGGCGTAATTTCGAAGATTTCGGCATCAATCTCCAACGTACCTTTCCTGCCTTCTTTCGAGCCTTCTATTTTCAACAACCCTTCATCTTTCTTCTTTATTTTCATCTTTAGACGCTTGGCAATGTCTTCAAGTTTCGAAACGATGGACGAAGCTGCCTTGTTCGATGTAAATCGAACTTCTTTCTTTTGTTCTTTTTCCTCAAATAAACCAGATAAATCGAAGCCTGCAGACAGGGAGATGATATCAAAGGCATTCATGTTACTACAAGGAGTTCGGGCTTGAGACATGATAATTGGTTCTTTGACTTCAGCATCGACAATGTCAGGTTTGCAGTCCAACCCTTTTCGGAACCATGGATGCTCCATTATTTTCTCAATGGAGATCCTCGTACTTGGATTCGGATCCAATATTTTCAACAGCAGCCTGCGTGCTTCGGGGGAAAACCAGTTTGGAAACTTGAACTCTGCTTTGCCGATCTTCCGGTACAGCTGCATCATATTCGAATCCTGGAATGGTAGAAAGCCAGCCAGGAGAACGTATAAGATTACCCCACAAGACCAGATATCAGATTTGCACCCATCATAACCTCGCCTGTTGATAACATCGGGTGCAACATAAGCAGGCGTCCCGCACGTTGTGTGGAGTAATCCGTCTTCGTGTTTCGTTTCAGCAAGAGCACTCAACCCGAAATCCGTAACCTTAAGGTTACCATGCTCATCCAACAACAAATTTTCCGGTTTGAGATCCCGATGACACACGCCTCGACTATGACAGAAATCAACAGCACTGATTAGCTGTTGAAAGTAACTTCTCGCAGTATCCTCTTTCAACTTCCCTTTCACAACCTTGTTGAACAATTCACCCCCTTTAGCATATTCCATAACGAAGTAAATCTTCGTCTTGCTGGCCATTACCTCGTAAAGCTCGACCACGTTCGGATGTCTCACCAATCTCATGACCGAAATTTCTCGCTTAATCTGATCCATCATTCCAACTTTCAATACCCTCTCCTTGTCAATTATCTTAATGGCCACACTCATGCCGGTTTTGAGGTTCCTCGCATGATGAACCTTGGCAAAGGTTCCCTGCCCTAGTAACCTCCCTAATTCATACTTTTCCATCAACACAGCCCCTTTTCGTTCCATTCCGAATATAGTTCCTCGGTGAAAACAACAGAATCTACCTTAACAACTAGCACTATATAATCTGATCTAGGTTACTGATATATGAATATGCAACCGTAAATCGATTTGAAAACCCAGAAAAGCTCAACCATCTTCACAAACATAATGCATTGACATAACATGTTCCCTTAAATTTATAGTCACAATAGCCATAAGAGCATGGAAACACAGCTTGGGTATAGGAAACGAGATCGGCTCGAATGGAGCATCAACTTCATTAACCTCAAACAAATAGAGCTCAGCTTTCAAACCCATTTTTCTGCATTCCCTGGTTTCCTTGTGAAACAATAAAGAAAATACAATAAAAAGATATCAGAGAAACTAGTCAGGAACAACGAACCGGATTAAACCAGACCAGACCCGAGTTTCGAATCTGCCTAGAAATAGACGAGTTTTTCACCCGATAAAGGGTTTCAAAACAAAATCAGGGTCATTAACAGTGCAAATGTATATACAGATTATGGAAAACGAAAAACCTATCAAGTTGGTGCCTGTAAAACACTCACTACTCGAATCTGATAAAAGATCAAATGTCATATGAAACACACAATTAAAGGTTGAGGCAAAAGGAAGCCTTGGCCCCTCCCAAATTTTGGGATTAAATACTTGCAAGGTCCCTATTAACTTTGCAGCTAGATAACTTAGTCCCTCCCATTATTCTATCCTGGTTCCCTCTTGACTGCAGCAACCATAAAAAAAATCTGAGATTGAACCATTTCTTTTCACATTTCTTATTGAGTGAATCAAAACTATTTCAGATCCAGAGAAGCCACAACCTCTGGTTTTAAATCCTAAAACAAATTTAAAAATTTCCAGCAAAAAAAATAATTTAAAGATTTGAACCCAAACCATGACACCCCAAAGTAATGAAATCATCAAATCAAGGCAAGAGAAATGAATCTGGAAAGTTTAAGGTTGAAGGTATGTACCTTGGAACGGGTAAGGATGCTTTTTTTCCCCTTTATTTTTCTGAGGAGACGAACAGATACATAAGATGACAAAGAGATGGTAGAGAACAGCTATGACCAAGAGAAATTTTTTGAAAGGCTGATGAGAGCCAATGTGATAATGTTTTATAATAACAAAAAAAAAGGAGGTGTTGCCCTACCAAACCTCAATATTTTATTATGGAAATTATATCGATTTTGTTCCATGCGCCCACTTCAATTTACCTGTTGATTATGCGGAGCATCCTCCCTTAATTTTAATTAAAATATAATCTGTCATGATTTAGTTCTTTCTATTAATTTTAAAATCAAATCAAATAAATTTCTATTTTTTTTACATACTTCTTATGTTCCTAGGAAAGGATAGAGGAAAAGATAGAGGAAAGGTTGGCAGAGACGATTATCTTTATTTGTTCTTGAAATTTTACAAGGTAGTACCTTTAAATTTTTTAAGTTCACTCTTAATATAAAATTTATGTATTTATCTTTTATATATTAAGTAATGGATCTAAAAATGTTTTTTAAATTGAATATAACACAAATAAAATTTTAAAATAATTAATTAATAAACCAAAGAAAAATTGAATTTTAAGATAAATACAAAGCGCATCACTGTGGTATATATCCCTATCAGTTCTAATATTAAACAAAATAAGTATCATCCTCGTTGTTTATATTTAAATATTTCTTATATCTTTGATAATTTCTAATCTATCAACGTGATCGGATTTTTTATATTAAATTATAAGCTTAGAGTTTAGGTTTTAAATTTAAATATTAAAAAATAAACCTTCGTATGAAAGAAATCCATAACAATTAATCAAATGTGTCCCAACAAGCAATCAACAACGACCAACCATTAAGCGCCACGTTGCGATATAAATATCGTTATGGGTACATAGAGCCTAGGTGCCACTTTCATCGGGCAACTGTTGCAAGTTGTAAAGGGACGAGCTGTCATTTATCATTGCTCGGCAAGCGTCAAAGGCCACTCGTTAACATACACGTGTCAATAAATAATTTAATTATGTCGCGTAAAAAATAATATTTTATAAAATAATATTTAGAATTTTTAATTTAATAATAATATATATAGTAACGTAAAAAATAAATCATTAGACGCCTATAATTACTAAATTAATATCTTAAAACTCACTCAAAAGATAACCTTAAATTAATGTTTTCCACAGTAAAAAAAGTATGGACACTTTTATAAAAATGATAGATACTTTACAATATAACCACTACCTATTATATTATATAAACGATATCTATTACATTATATAAGTGCTACCTATTACATCATATTTTTACCTATTATATTGAAAGTGTTCATACTTTTTATAAAAATGATCGATACTTCTTTTAAAGTTATGTAATTTATGTTTCAATTTTTTTTAATAGTGTTTCATGTTTTCCACCTACAATATTAATTTAATAATTTCATTTGCACAAAAAATTATTTGATTGTTTTGATATTTTATAAAATATTATTTAGAATTTTTAATTTAATAATAATATATATCATAACGTAAAAAATAAATCATTAGACGCCTATAATTACTAAATTAATATCTTAAAACTCACTCAAAGGATAACCTTAAATTAATGTTTTACACAGTGAAAAAAGTATGGACACTTTTATAAAAATGATAGATACTTTACAATATAACCACTACCTATTACATTATATAAACGATACCTATTACATTATATAAGCGCTACATATTACATCATATTTTTACCTATTATATTGAAAGTGTCCATACTTTTTATAAAAAGGATCGATACTTTTTTTAAAAGTTATGTAATTTATGTTTCAATTTTTTTTCATAGTATTTCATGTTTTCCACCTACAATATTAATTTAATAATTTCATTTGCACAAAAAATTATTTGATTGTTTTGATATTTTATAAAATATTATTTAGAATTTTTAATTTAATAATAATATATATCGTAACGTAAAAACCAAATCATTAGACGCCTATAATTACTAAATTAATATCTTAAAACTCACTCAAAGGATAACCTTAAATTAATGTTTTCCACAGTGAAAAAAGTATGGACACTTTTATAAAAAGGATAGATACTTTACAATATAACCACTACCTATTACATTATATAAACGATACATATTACATTATAAAGCGCTACCTATTACATCATATTTTACCTATTATATTGAAAGTGTCCATACTTTTTATAAAAAGGATCGATACTTCTTTTAAAGTTATGTAATTTATGTTTCAATTTTTTTTAATAGTGTTTCATGTTTTCCACCTACAATATATCTTTTAATAATTTCATTTGCACAAAAAATTATTTGATTGTTTTGATATTTTATAAAATATTATTTAGAATTTTTAATTTAATAATAATATATCGTAATGTAAAAATAATCATTAGACGCCTATAATTACTAAATTAATATCATAAAACTCACTCAAAAGATAACCTTAAATTAATGTTTTCCACAGTGAAAAAAGTATGGACACTTTTATAAAAAGGATAGATACTTTACAATATAACCACTACCTATTACATTATATAAACGATACATATTACATTATATAAGCGCTACCTATTACATCATATTTTTACCTATTATATTGAAAGTGTCCATACTTTTTATAAAAAGGATCGATACTTCTTTTAAAGTTATGTAATTTATGTTTCAATTTTTTTAACAGTGTTTCATGTTTTCCACCTACAATATTAATTTAATAATTTCATTTGCACAAAAAATTATTTGATTGTTTTGATATTTTATAAAATATTATTTAGAATTTAAATTTAACAACATTAACCAAAGATAATAATAAATATGTAATATATATGTTTATTGTTTTTAATTTAATAATAATATATACAACATCAAACACATTTCAAGCTATAAATTACAAGCTAAGGACACTTGAAGAAGCAAGAGAACAACTATCCAAGCAATCAAAAACGAGAAAATCCCAACATGATAACAACTGAACATATCATATTAATGTTCAAACTCAAGTTGTAGATTTTGATTTCCTTTTGCTTGGCATCATATGAGATTTGGATTTTGATTTCCTTTTGCTTGGCACCATATGAGCTTTGGATTTTGATGAGCATCGGAAGTATTTCGGACTTATGATTTGGGTGGTACTCAGAAGCATTTCGGACTTATGATTTTAGTTGCTATTTGTTTACCACCCAGATCATACACCCGAAACGTTTCTGACGCTTTAAAGTTGACCAAAAAATACAATGGTCGGGATTTCCCTCGCGTTTAAACGTTGGAAAAAAAACAATGGAAATTAGGAATAATCAATGATAACATGCATATTGGCTTGGGCTAATATTTATAGTGGAGCCGAAATATATATTGAAATTCAAACTCAAATTGAAATTTAAATTCAAACTCCAATTACATATGAAATGAATTTGAAATGCAGTGTTAAATAGAACATGAAAATTGCATAATTGATTCATACTGTTTAAGTAACATGCGTTATGAACCATCAAGCTAAAAGACAATATTGATTGAGTTCAAAGCTGAGTTGTGAGTTGATGGAGTTGTCACACTTGTCACATGGTTGGAATAAAGTACTCACATGGAAGAGATAGATTGTTTTGTTATACATATCTCATCTCAACTGAATGAAAATATACATACAATATAATCAAACCAAAACATACATACACAACAAATTTATATATAACAATGTTCAAATAATGTACCTACAAAAATGAAATTAATCCAATGAAAAAGAGTTATTTCTAACAAAGTCCGGAACATTATTTTCTAAATAATGTACCCATAACAATGTTCAAATAATTTACCCACAACAATGTTTAATTGATTTGTTGTTTAATTTTCAATTTGAATTATTTGATTTAATAATTTCATTTGCACAAAAAATTATTTGATTGTTTTGATATTTTATAAAATAATATTTAGAATTTTTAATTTAATAATAATATATATCGTAAAGTAAAAAATAAATAATTAGACGCCTATAATTACTAAATTAATATCTTAAAACTCACTCAAAAGATAACCTTAAATTAATGTTTTCCACAGTGAAAAAAGTATGGACACTTTTATAAAAAGGATAGATACTTTACAATATAACCACTACCTATTACATTATATAAACGATAAATATTACATTATATAAGCGCTACCTATTACATCATATTTTTACCTATTATATTGAAAGTGTCTATACTTTTTATAAAAAGGATCGATACTTTTTTTAAAAGTTATGTAATTTATGTTTCAATTTTTTTAACAGTGTTTCATGTTTCCACTACAATATTAATTTAATAATTTCATTTACACAAAAATTATTTGATTGTTTTGATATTTTATAAATAATATTTAGAATTTAAATTTAACAACATTAACCAAAGATAATAATAAATATGTAATATATATGTTTATTGTTTTTAATTTAATAATAATATATACC